AACGGGTTTGCCGAATGAAAATAAGATTAAGAGGATAAAATAATTATTCCCGACGATCCAATTCGCTTCAAGGTAGTTTTCGAGGTCCCGCAAATTCTTAGAAAGGATCGACGGAAATTTACATACTTAAAACTATCATTGATTAGAATATCTGCACGAAAACGACCTTCAGAGTAAGTGTGACTCATTACAACAAATACATTCGTGTTGAACTTTTTAATATTTTAAAGAGCGCCTTCATTTAATATATTTAATCGCGCAGTTACTTTATTTTCATTAGAACAGATTTTTTATCCACAAATCAATTATTAATCAGTATTAGACTCTTCTCTTACAACTGAGGATGTACATATCTTCTTTTGCGCAACTACTTGGTAAGCAAGGACAGGTCAGGTCAGGGGCTAGTATCCTTGGGTACGGTCCAAAGTCACTCAAACAAGTTTGCAAGTTTTATTTCTCGTACGCGAATGGGGGAGTCCCAAGAACGACCGTGTCTCCAATCTACCAGGACCAGTATCAGTTTTTTTTTTTATTTGTTTCTTCTTCATGCCCACTCTCTATCATTTATACTCTGTACGTTCTCCAAAAAATTTCCAATATTTTATTCATTTGATTTATGCTAATACATTTTAAAATAAAATATCTTTCTCTATTTGATAAATTTATTTTAGTATTGAATTTTTTTATTTAATTATCGCTTAGTCATTTTTGTGCGATGTTGCAAGCGCTAAAACTTTCTCTTGATGCTTCTGATTACTTTAAAAAAAGACTCAATATCTCAGGTGTTTTGATAAAAGTTTAAAAATATGTGGATTTTAGTTATCTAATTTTAAAATGATAATTAATTGTGAAAAATTTGGGTTAAATTTTAGCAGTGTAAAATTTATTGAATTTAATCATGAAATAAATTTTTATTTTAGATTAACTTAAGGTAGTACTACCGGTTTTAGATTTGACGTTCAGAATTTAATGAAATTTGGCATATTGGTACTTTATAACTTATCATAATTAAGCAGTAAAATTTTTGGAAGCTGAGCAAGTCCTGAAAAAAAGATATTAATATCTACATATTTTTGCTTTTACCATTGATCCTTATGGAGAATCACAGACTTTATTTTATTTCACAAAACTGGACGTTCAGATTCTTATAAAAATTAACACAACGAAAGGAAATAACATCTAGAACATAATTAGTAACAATCAGTATGGTTTCCAAGAATATGAGAATATTTATTAATAAAAAACATTCAAAATTTTATCTCTGTCTCTCTTTCTCCAACGTAATTTAGTATAGGGAAATCTACTACGTTAATCAAATAAGGTAAGGTTTTGGGATTTGACACTTGTGGTAACGGTAGTACTACCTTAAAAAAATTTTAAGACATTTTCTTACAGAGGATTAAGTTTTTTATGAAAAAGTCTTAAAATTTTTTTATATTTTACTCAAAATTTTGATTGAAAAATTTAACTCAATATTTGCATAAAAATTTTTGATAATTTTTTAATTTGTAAAAAAGATATTTACAATTTTTTTGAAAAATAACTTTTTTTTCTTAAAGTTTATTAAAAATAGAATAATTTTTAAATAATTTCAAAAATTTGATTAAAAAATTAATATTTTTTTTTTTTACACAAAGTCCATAAAAATATACTATGAATCTCTAGATTTATACGGTCGAAATTTATTAAAGATTTTCAACATAAAATTTTAAAACTAATTAAAAAATTATTTTTTCACAAATTTTCATGATTATCGTAAATTTACCTAAAAATAAAATGTAAAAAAATTAAAAAATACCCAATTTTCCGACTTTTTATGGCAAAAAAACCAAATTACTGTAATAAAAAAAAAAAAAAATTACTTCCTGTATGTCACAATAAACTTTTTTGATGGCTTTTACCAGGCTTTCCGTTCCAATGAAAAAACACATTCTGCAATACTATTAATGATATTCATAAATTTAAATTTATTTTTGTGTAATTTTCGAGCTAGAATTTTAGAATTAAAAAATTTATAATTTAAAGAATACCTTACTCGATGTACAATGCCGATTGACGCTCATGTAAATAAATAAAATTTTAAATGTCAAAAAAATAAAACCATGTACTTTGGATAATTAAAAAATTAAAAATTTGGTAATTATTTACAAGCGCGGTCAACCCGATTTTGGACCATAAATAGGTGAAAAATTAACATTTCCAAATTTTTTTTTGATTTTGCTTCTTTTTACGGCGCATTTACAATAAAAAATATCGTGAAAGAAAAAGATACAAATTTCGATACCTTTTTTGCCTAAAATTTTTTTCTTTTTTAGATAAAATTTCTATTTTATCTGTTTTTTGATATATTTTTTTTTTTTTTGAAAAGTACAAAAAAAAATGAATAATTAACAAAAAAAGTTGAATATTACAATTTTCTAAAAAAATAAAAAATTTATGAAAATTAAGTTGGCCGACATTTAAAAATTTTTAGAATTTTTATTTTTATTGAAAAAATAATTAAAAAAAATTTCACTTGAAAAAAACTTTAAAAACTGTAAGTGCAATTTTTTAAAAATATTTTTTTTATTTATTCATTTATTTATTTATTAGGTTTAGATGCCAAGGCACAAAGCCGAATGGTAAAAATGATATACATAAAATTTTCATAATGTTCAAATGGACATAATGTTTTTTAATCATATTAACCAGCTCACTATTATATTATTATTCAAGATTTATAAGAAAATCGAATACTCTTGTCTTGAAGGATTCTAAACCAAGAGAATTTGAAATTTCAGGAGGTAGATCTTGCCAAAACCGTATAGCTGACATAACAAAATGAATGCTCGTAGGTTGTAGTAACAAAATTGGGTATTTTAAAGGTGATATTATTATTTCTGTTGGCTATTCTTTGCGATCATCTGATGACAGGGTCTTCTTCAATAAATAAATCACGTAGAAATTTTGGTTCGCCTGTTGATAACAATTTAAAGAACACACAGGCTAAAAAATATAGCCTTCGTGACTTTACATTTAACCAATTTAATGACCGTCGATATGGTGTGATGTGTTCATCTCGCCTCAGATTAAAGATGAATCGAATAGCATTGTTAACAAGTCACTGCAATTTGCAATCAAGTTCATTCGATAAGTTAAGAAACACTACTGAGCAATAGTCAATATAATAGGAAGGATAGTAGCAGAAACTAATAACTTGCGGGATTTTTGTTCTAATTTAATTATTAAAAAAAAATCAAAAAATTAAAATCGTCGGCTACCTTTAGTATCATTAAAATTTTCATAATCAACTTTTTTTTTTTTAATTGTTCATTTTTTTATGTATTTTTCAAAAAAAATATCAATAAAACCAAATAGAAATTTCGTTCAAAAAAATAAAAATTAAAATGGTTGACCCCACTTGTAAATAATTACCAAAAATTCTTTCATTGAAAAATTTTCACCACACCAAAAACCAGAAAAATCCTGTCCTTAGTATTTCTGTGCAATATTTATTTTCTGAGCATCTCAACGCTACATCCTGAAAGAAAAATATTTCAAGATCAATCAGTTGTTAAAGTGCATGTTTATAAAAAACTACTAATTAATGTTAAAGATAAATGTCAACTCACCAGAACCCGCGGGATAATCCACCGTTCAACGTTCATGGTCCATGGTTCGCAGAAAGATACAGCCTCCGAAACCCTCCTACGTCTCTGCCCCTTGACGCTTAACTTCTTGTTGCGATCTGCGACATACAGGGCACACGTCATCGGCTCTGTTGGTGAGCGAGCCAGCACAGGTGAGGAGACAGTAAATGTTGCACAAGCGGTTTGATTCTTAGTTTGAGACTACCGTCCACATGAGCCTCAGTCTTAGTCAGTTGGTTGTAACTTCAACAAGTTAATTTAACTCCGATCAAGCCACTCTCTATTTCAAATTCACCTGGCCACAGTAGTACTCTCTTACTCCAAATGACCTAATGGTTTCTCAAACCTCGTAATCGAACAATTGTTCTTTCTTCACAGTGTTTTATTTTAAATTTCTTACAAATTTATTTATTTTCTCTATTTGGATTGTGATTCAGTGACGGGTAATTTATTTTCCATCTTTACTTATTAATAATTAATTAAATGTGCAGTGTTAATTTATGTGAGTGCTAATTATTTATAAATTCAAGGAAATAGCAATTAAAAAATTTACGCGCTTTAATTTTAAATATTAAAATTTGCCGCGCTTTTTTAATTTTTTAAATTCTAATTAAAAAAAAAGTTCTTCTTCAAAAAAATAACTTACATTATTATTTTACATGGATGAAAATGATGAAATTTCATTGCATCACAAATATCTGACATTTAAAACTTATGAAGCTTTCTCATACATTCTTTGTATATATTTTGATTACATTTAACATTATTTTAGTTTAACTTTTTATTAGTCAGCATCAATTACTGAACTTTAATCAAGCAATAACAAAAATAATTACAAAAAAAAATAAATAAATAAATTTCCCTGTCCTGGATTTTATTATTTTTATACTCTGTGATGTAACTCGAGATTCCCAAATCCAGAGAGAAATTACTTTTACATTCAAACGTAATAATATTCTGTTTTATTATTTAATTAATATTGTGTCATATTTATGTTTCATAAATTCCTCCGTAGTATTGAAGCGTTTACTGAATAATAATAATAATTAGTAAATAAAAATAATGTCAAAAAAAGAATAATAAAAAATAAACGCATTGATTTCACCAGAAATTATCTGGTCGCTAGTCGGGCAATCGGTCCAGCCGAGCATGCTTATGATAGTGAGAGTCTGTTACATCACGGCATGCTAACCCTACCTATATATAAAATATATAGGAGGTATTATGTATATGAATACTCACCAGAAATCATGTGCGGTAAAAAATAATTAATTCGAAGAGCAAGCGGGGAATAGATAAAGTTTTAAATAAAAAATACCTTTTTTTTTAATAAATATTTAGGAATTAATTTTAGAAAAATTTTTTAAGAGAATGGAGCCTACGGAGCCAACGAGTACGAGCTCCAAAGTAACGTCTATTGAATTGAAAACTCGACGAGCACAATTTCAACCTCAGGTGTCGACTTTAGATACCCGGAGGCGGCATGCGATATGTGTAAGAAGAGCCTTCAAAAAATATGGCCCTAAGAGCAATCCGAATGTCGTCCTTGATGGGCTTAATATGACGGTTCCCAAGGGTTGCATGTGAGTATGATTATGAAAAAGTCACGCGATGTTGTATAACTTAATAAATCACTTATAATAATAAATGATTTTTCCTATTTTTATGATTACGTAGATACGGACTATTAGGCTCAAGTGGATGCGGTAAAACCACATTGCTTTCATGCATTGTGGGAAGACGGCGATTAAATGCTGGAGAGATTTGGGTTTGGACTGATATACATTTTTAACTAAGGAGATTAAAATCTTAAGGATATAATTATATTTTTACTTATTATTTATTTATATCCAAAAATTAATACAAATTTTTTGTTAATTTAAATGTAATTTATTTTTTTCTCTTTTTTGAATTTGTTTTTTTAATTTTTTATTGGAAAATTTTATTAAAAGTAAATGTATTTTAGTTTATTGTTACAAATTTGGAAAAATTAAGGTTTTTGACAGTTTATCTAAGTGTTTTATTTTGATTTTAAACTCCTGCATTTGTTATGAAAAATTTTCATTGTGACGGGTCAAAAAATTTGATTTTTTTTAAATATGCATTAAAAAATAAGCTACCATGTTGGGCCATGTTAATTTCTCTTTTTTTGATCAAATTGATCAATTTTTTTTTTATGTTTATTTTTTATGCACTTTTAAATAAAAAATGTCAAAAACATCAAAAAAAGATAGAATAGAAATTTTATCCAAAAACATGAAAGCCAATTTTTTTTCCAACTTTTAGGAGGCCAAAAAGCTATCGAAATCTTTGTTTTTTCAATTCACGACATTTTTTATCATAAATGCGCCGTGAAAATAAGCAAAATGAAAAAAATTGAAAATTGTTAATTTTTCACCTTGTTATGGCCCAAAATGGGGTTGACCTCACTTGTAAATAATTACTTTATTTTTTAATGCATATTTAAAAAATAATACCCAAAAATACTATTGAAGTCAGCAATTAAATTTTATTTTTCAAAAAATAAATTGGTACTAAAATAGTGTCTTTTATTTTTTAAATTTCTATTATTTTATAATTTATTTAAATTCAATAGATGTTTTTTAATTTCAGTTTCATTAAAAATTTTGGTAATTATTTACAAGTGGAGTCAGCTTCATTTTGGGCCATAACTCGGTGAAAAATTAACATTTTCAAATTTTTTTTTTGATTCTGCTTGTTTTTACGACGCACTTATGATAAGAAATGTCGTGAAAGGAAAAAATGAAGATTTCGATAGCTTTTTTTCCTTTAAAAGTTGGAAAAAATTTTGACTCCCATGTTTTTGAATAAAATTTCTATTTTATCTTTTTTTGATATATTTTTATTTTTCTAAAAAGTAAGGTAAAGGACCCAGTTATTGACATTGACCTAGTTATTGACTCTTGCAATTTTATTCTAATTGAAAAAATAAAATGTTCTCAAAAAATTAATTATCTTAAAATTTATAACTCAAAAAATATATTTATTAATTTATTAGAGTTGATTTGTTTTTTTTTTTTTAATTAAAATAAAATTGTAAGTGTCAATAACTAGGCCAGTGTCAATGACTGGGTCTTTTACCTTACATAAAAAATGAAAAGTTGAAAAAAAAAATTGATCAATTTGATTAAAAAAAAAAAAAAAAAAAAAAAAAAATAAAACGAGCTAGCATAGGTTGATCCCACTTGTAAATAATTACCAAAATTTTATCACAAAAGACTTTTTACTACTAATTTATAACCCTTTAAAAATAAAAAAAAAAGTTCAAAAATTTCCTGACACGTCACACTCAATATCCACTTAAATAAAATCCAATAAAATTTTTCTAAATATAATTTATTTTCAGGTACTCGGAGGAAAACCAGGATCTAAAGGGTCTGGAGTACCAGGTCCACGTGTGGGTTATATGCCTCAAGAAATAGCACTGTACGGAGAATTTTCCATCCGTGAAACATTTATCTACTTTGGATGGTGCGCTGGTATGACTACAACTCAAGTCGACGAAAAATTAGAATTTCTAATCAAGGTAAAATCCTAATAACTTAACAATCCGACAAAATAAAATTTATAATTAATAAAATTATTAATTAAAGCTTCTGGATCTACCAAACGAGAACAGATTTGTAAAGAATTTATCTGGTGGTCAGCAACGGCGAGTATCAATAGCAGCGACTCTGATAGCAGACCCGGAACTTTTAATTTTGGATGAACCGACAGTGGGAATAGATCCAGTTCTGCGACAAAGTATCTGGGATCATTTGGTTAAAATCACCAAAGACGGTTCAAGAACTATAATCATCACGACTCATTATATAGAAGAAACCCGACAGGCAAGTATAATCGGTTTGATGCGAGGTGGCCGATTCCTTGCTGAAGAATCACCAAGAAGGCTCATGGAGATGCATCGAATGGACACACTCGAGGAAGTCTTTCTCAAGCTGAGCAGACGGCAAAATATGGGATTAAGAAGGCGCAGCAGCATCCTCAGCAGTGTAACAGGTGTACCGCCAGATATTGATGTCGATGATGAAATGAGCGGTGAATTTGGTGATAACGTCAGTATCTCTAGTCGTAGACGCAGTATTGCTGTTACTTCAGATGACGATCACATACCAGAGCTGCCGCCTGAAGAGAAAGGCGGTAATACTTTCAAAATGCTTGATCCACAGCACATGAAAGCGCTCATTTGGAAAAATTTTTTGTGGATGTGGCGAAATGTTGGTATGATGCTTTTCATAATTGGACTGCCGGTTTTACAGATAATAATATTTTGTTTGTCAATCGGTAAAGATCCGGTTGGTCTTTCGATTGCCGTTGTCAATAATGAGTTGAATAGTACTGCCGAGCTTTGCTTACCAACCATTGGTTGTGACAAAAGAATGCTCAGTTGTCGATTCTTAAAACATCTGAAAAAACGTAAAGTTGTTTTTACTTATTACGAACAAGAAGATGAAGCGAGATACGCTGTTAAAAAAGGTTGGGCATGGGCTGCTGTTAGTTTTCCTGAAAATTATACGGATTCGCTTATTGAACGATTAGAAAGCTCTACTGATGTTGATGAATTCACTGCTGAAACTGCTAATATGTTTGTCGTTATGGATATGTCTAGTAAGTTTAGTGTTTTTTTTTTTTTTTAATTGAGTCTTTAAAAAATTTACTTTTTTTTTTTCTTACTTATAGATCAACAAATTGGTCAGTTATTGCAGCGTGATTTTTACTATTCATTTCAAGACTTTGCTAAAGAGATGATGATCGCTTGTGATAACAACGAAAAACTTGCGAACATCCCGATAGATGTAAGTATATAAAAGTTCAATGATTATTTAATTTAGTCTGTCTTGAAAAAAAAAAAAAAAATTATAACTTATTTTATAAGATATAACATTCACTTTAACAGAATTTTTATTCGAGGATAATGTTAAAATTAATTATTTTTTATATTTTTTGCTGATTTTAAAAAGAGAAAAAATAAAAAAAATTATCAAAAAAAAAAAAAAAAGTAAAATTAAAACGAATTATATGAATTTTAAAATTAAATGGCCAGAATTTAGTTATTAATTATAGTTTTGAATTTATGTGAGAAAATTTCGTAAAATTTTGATTTTTATAAAAATGAAAAATTTTGGTAATTATTTATAAGTGGGGTCAACCCATGCTAGCCCATGTTAAATTTTTTTTTTTTTATCAAATTGATCAATTTTTTTTTAATTGTTCGTTTTTTTTGTACTTTTCAAAAAAAAAAAATATATCAAAAAAAGATAAAATAGAAATTTGATCTCTAGATACACAATTGAGAAATGACATTGTATCTTTTGAACAATTGACATTTTTAAAGATATAAGCTCATTTCGATGTTTCATAAATATAATATATATATATATATATATATATGTATATATGAAAAATATATCAAAAATGCATGTGGGTACTCAAATGAAAGCTCTTGATAAATCGTAACATCGGGATGAGCTTATATCTTTAAAAACGTCAATAGTTAAGAAAGTACAGGGAATTTTAACAAATATCTTGTGAACTATTGACATTTTACAAGGTATAAGCTCATCCCGATGTTACAATTATCGAAACCTTTCATTTGAGTACCCACATCAATTTTTCATATATTTATATATATATTATATATATGTATATATGAAAAATATATGAAAATGCATGTGGGTACTTAAATGAAAGCTCTTAATGAGTGTAACATCGGAATGAGCTTATATCTTTAAAAACGTCAATAGTTAAAAAAGTACAGTACAATTTAACAAAAGTCATTATTTAATAAAGCAAAATTTTATTTATTTATAGTTCAGAAGTCACGACAGTCATATAGTGACTGCAAGGTTGCTAGTTAAATATTAAAATATTTATTTAATAATTTTAGTTTAGAACGCCAATTTATGGACCACAAGAACCAAACTTCACAGATTTTGCAGCTCCAGGCATTATATTAACGTACGTAATAATATTTTAAAATAATAAAGCCATCAATAAAATAATTACCAATTTTTTTGAATATCAATTTACAGGATAATATTCTTCTTATCAGTCGCATTGACATCAGGTGCTATGTTACTGGAACGTAACGAAGGTCTTCTTGAAAGAAGTCTAGTATCAGGATTAACTGGAACGGAAATATTATTCAGTCAGGTGGTTACACAATTTGTCGTGATGACCGGGCAAACTTTAATGGTTTTAATAGTGACATTTGCTGTATTCAAACTGACATGCGAGGGTGAAATTGCCTGGGTAACTGTTCTGACAATCCTCACTGGTCTCTGTGGCATGTGTTTCGGTAAGACTATCACTAATTTACATAAATATAAATAATCTTCAAATAAATATATAATTTATTATTATTACTTACAGGGTTCGTGATTGCTTGCGTGTGTGAGACAGAAAGAAGTGCGACATACATGGCGATGGGTTCATTCCTCCCGATTGTTATGCTCTGCGGAATAATATGGCCAGTCGAAGGAATGCATCCTGTTCTACGTGCTATTAGCTATGTACTACCTCTGACAAAAAGTACGGAGTCAATTCGTGCTATGCTAGCCCGGGGTTGGCCTATCTCCAATCCGACTGTTTATGAAGGCTTTCTCGCAACTTTCATTTGGATTATTATTTTCCAAACTCTAGCGATATTATTACTTAAATTCAAAAAAGGTTAAACAGCCTTTTAAGTAAATAATTATACATATCTTGGTTGTAGATTTATATATTAGTTAATTAAATACTAAAAATAATACTAAAAAATATAGGCTTTAATATTAATCAATTAAGATTTATTTTAATGATATCATTTGCTCAATGCATTTTAGATTATTTATTTTGTAAATTCTTATTATATAAAACAAATAATAATATTTTTTAAGTATGCAATTAATTTGTAGTAATTAAATAAGAATTGTTTATTTTTTAAGAAATAAGATGTATTGTACAGTTTATTTTAATTAATAAGTAATTGTCACAATTAAATATGTTTTGTTGTTGTATTAAAAATTTTTTTAAATCATTTGTGATTTTTATTGTTTTCTTATGAAAATTAAGTTAGCCGAGGTTTTTAATTTTTTTTTTTTTATTAATTAAATTAAAACTTAAAAATATTTTTAAAGAATTGCACTTACAGTTTTTAAAGTTTTTTACAAATGAAATTTTTTTTTCAATAAAAAAATTTTTTTCATGTCGGCTAATTTAATTTTCATTGATGTTAGCTGACATTTCAAAATTTTTATAAATTTTTTATTGAAAAAATTTCAATTAAACAATTAAAAAAAAAATTCACATGTAAAAAACTCGAAAAACTATGAGTGCAATTTTTAAAAAACATCTTTTTAGTGATAATTTAATTAATAAAAAAAATCAAAAATTTTTAGACACCTGCTAACTTCAGTATCATTTTTTTTTTCTAATAATAATAAAGTTAGCCGACACTTTTGATTTTTTTATTTTGCTTAATTTATTAAATTAAAACTAAAAAAATATTTTTAAAAAATTGCACGTGTAGTTTTTGAAGTTTTTAACAAAAAAAATTCTAAAATTCTTTCTTACCGACTGAACAATATTTTCATTCTTTTCTACATTTCTACAATACAAGCGTGTGCCCGGTACTTGTGTTTTATTATATACGTAAAATTACGTAAAATAAATACAAAGGCGTCGTTAATATCAAATTAATTAAATTAATTCATATAAATGTGATTAAAAACGTTTATTTTAATTAAATTAATCAAATATATAATCAGAAAACAAAAATACAAGAAAATATTAATTCTCACGACACGAGTCAACGGTGACATAACCTAAAAATTTAATTTTAAGACTTAATATTTAATAATTAATTAAAAATAAAGTTATTAAAAAATGAAATTTGTCAAGGGTTACACGTGCATGAAGAAACACGTGATCCCTTATGAATGGCGAATAAACAATATCAGTACGTACAGTGAAAAAACTGGTGATGATATTGAGTACAAATTTGACTTGGAATCACTAAAGTTTCCGCCAGGTGCTGATGAAAAAATAAAATGGCATCTGAAACTCAGCTCCGAGAATGAAGAATCAGAAGACAAGTCTTGGATTTCGTTATCTATACACTATTCTGCTGCACAAGAATTTAACGTCCAGACTATGTATCATTTATTTATTATAAATAATAAGAATGAACGCGTAAATGTCACAGAGTTCAGGAAATATTTCAGGGGTCGCACTGACAGTTATACTCATGCTGAATTTGTCAAGAAATCAGACCTGGAAGAAAAAAAACGTGAGCTCCTTCCGAATGATTCGCTGACAATAGGCATAGAACTTACGATCTATGGTGATCCCATGATGTACTCCAACAGCATCACCCTAAAGGAACCAACATCGCATGTAATTGAAGATTATCGGAGATTGTTTGAAACCAAGGAAGGCTGCGACGTTATTTTAAAGGTTGGAGATGAAGCTTTTGAAACTCACAGAACCATTCTGATGGCACGCAACGAAATTTTCTTCAAGCTGTTTACCCTTGCGACAAAAGAAGAAACTAACACAAGAGAAGTAATAACGTTGACTGACATTAAGCCTAAAATATTCAAAAGCTTTTTAGAATTTATCTATACGGATCAAGTTACTGATATTGATCTTGTAGTTGATGACTTGTTGGAAATCGCTGATAAATATCTATTAGATTCACTGAAAGATTTATGTACAGAATCTTTGTTGAAAGGACTAAAAGCCGATAATGCAATTCGAGTCCTTTCTTTAGCTGAAAAATACAATGTTCCTCAGCTTTCAGAACAAGTTTCTGAATTTATTGTTTGCAATGCTAAGGATGTTATCAAGACTCCGGAGTTTGAAAGTATGAAGCAGTCAAATCCTTCTTTAGCATCGATTTTATTCAAGAAATTTGCGGATTTGAAAGCTGCTGGAGTTCTCGTAGTTGCTGACTCTGTAAAAGATGGTAATTGTTTTATTTTATTTTCTACTGGACTCCTGTAATAATTTATCAGTTATAACTCATACTAATAACTCTTTTTTGTTGTAGCTGAGTAACTATGGATTCGCAGGCAGAGGTTGGAGAAATTCTCACAATTTAATCAGTATAATTTTATAACTCAAAGTTCACTTAAAATATATTATCGTTACCATGAATGAATATTGCCGATTGGCATTTTTTTTTGCAATTAATAAATAAGTAAATAATGTTTATTATTTTAAATTTTATTTTTTTACTATTTATTATCATAATTAACACCATTAATTTAAAAAAAATGGTAAATATTTACTACCATTTTAATTTTCATTTTTTTGAACGAAATTTCTACTTGATTTTATTGATAGATTTTTTTTTTTAAAATAATACATAGAAGAAATAAACTTTAAAAAAAAAAAATGTTGATTATGACATTTTAACAAATTTTCTCAAAAAAAAAGATAAATTTTATCTAAAAGCATAAGAGTCAAATTATTTCCAACTTTTGAAGACAAAAAAGCTGTGAAAATCTTGATTTTCCTTCTTTCATATTATTTGTCATAAATTCGCCGTAAAAACAAGCAGTATCTAGAAAAAATTTGAAAGTATTAATTTTTTACCTAGTTATGACCCAAATCGAAGCTGACCTCACTTGTAAATAATTACTAAAAAAATTCCCTGTTGCAAGCAACATGTACTTCTTCAATAACTTTAACTAACAATAGTAATATAAATATCATATTTTATAGTTATCAAATATATTTGTTAAGATTAAATGAAAATTAAGTTAGCAGTTATCTAAAAATTTTTGGAATTTTTTTTATTAAAAAAATTATAAAAGAATTTTTTAAAAATATCATTTGTAAAAAAATTGAAAAATTATAAATGCAATTTTTAAAAAATATTATTTAGCTCTAGTTTAGTAATTAAAAAAGAACTAAAAGAATTAACAATGCTGGTTATCTTTAGTATTATTAAAATAAAATAATTATTTGATTATTTTTACTAAACTAAATGAATGTTCATACCAGTAATTTGAATTGTTTTTTATTTATTTTCTATGTTAATCTGCGTTTTAATTTCTATTTTATTGATATGACAAAAATTGAAATGTAATTTTAATATTGAAATATTCAGTCATAATATTTAGTGTTTAATTATAACACTGAAGTTGACAGACATTAAAATTTTTTTTGAATTTTACACCAATTATTAAATTACTATAAAAAAAAAAATTTAATGAAAAAATTACATAAGTAAAAATTTTTAGAATCTTTTTATTATGATTGATTTGTTATAAAAATTTAAAAAATTGATAGCTAATAACTTCAGTGTCATGTTTAATTAATTTTGTAGAGTTCTTTTAAATTATTAAGTGTCAAGTATCGTTAAAATTCATAAAGCAAAAAATTTTGAATTATTACTAATTTTAATAGAAATTAATTTAGCAGATATTTAATAGTTTTAAGAATTTTTTTAACAAATAAATTATAGCAAAAAAAATTGACCTGTAGCAATTTTAAGAATTAAAAAATGCAATGTTTTTAATAATAATTTTTCATAAAAAATTTTTTCGTTAAAAAAAATTTTTAAAATAATATCTAGACTGCTAACTTTAATGTGATCCAATTTCAGATGAACCTGAAGTCAGCTAAAAAATGACAGAAGACTAGATCTCAGCCAACTTCAGAGTCTTAGTTGACTGATTGTCTCTTGTCTCAGTGGAAGGATTTTATTTATTTAAAATAGATCAGAATAATGATTTTCTACTTGGAAAAAAAGATTTACACCTGCATGTATTGATTTTTGTCTTCTGATTCTGATATTCTATACAATTTTTATAATCATAAAATAAAAATTCATATAACAGATAAGCGGTAAAAAACATAACCTAAATTTACCTATAATTTGATGTTGAAATAAAAAGCGTGTAAAAATATTACTGATGGAAGTATCAAATTCGAAAATGCTAGTAAAAAACATTATAACAAATGTATCTAAACATAAATGTCATTTTGAATGGAGGATCAACGGCATCAGTGCATATTTAGACACTTTTGATAATGAAATTGGTGATGATGGAGAGAGGACACTTTATTCGCCTACATTCACAAGTGGTTCTGCAGTTGGCGATAAATGGTGTCTTGAAATGACGGTAAACGACGAACGATTCATTGATAAAACTGTAATAATTGAGCTAGATTCTGTTGGTAGCTTTAATCTTGGAGTGAGAATACAATTTACATCATTTATTTTAGATAATGAATACCAGGAAAAGGAACGTATTGATTGCGATCAAATTTTAAATCAAAGCGATTATCTCGATTTCGCAATTGTCATACCTACAAACGAACTCATGCAAAATAAAAACAAATTTATGTTCAACGACACGCTGACTATTGGTGCTGAACTCACGTTGGTTGACATTACTTCATCATGTCTTGATAATGCTCTGTCATTTGGACCAAAACGCCAACGAATAACTGATGAGTACATAGATTTGTTAAAAAAAGAGCAAGATACTGATGTTGTTATCAAAGTAGATGACAAAATATTCAAGGCTCACAGGGCAATTTTGATGGCACGCTGTCCTGATTTATTCAAGCTCTTCCCAACTCGGAAGGATGGAACCGAAATTGAAGGTGAAATTACCATACCAGACATGGACCCTGGTACTTTTGACACCATTCTTCAGTTCATTTATACTGATGAAGTTAACGATTTGGATGGTAATGCTGAGAATTTATTTACAGCTGCTAACAAACTTAAATTAAAAAAACTTAGACAAATGTGTCTGCAATCGCTTCTCAAATCTCTAACTTGTCAATCCGCTCCAAGATTATTTAAATTCGCTTATGATTACAATCTTTCGGAAATATTGGACTTCATTGCTAATTATATTGTATCGAACGCTGATAAAGTTAATGATACTCCAGAGAACCAGACTTTTATAAAGTTAAATCCATCAATGGTTAATATTCTCTTACAGAAATGTGTAAATTTAAAAGTCGATGGTACTTGGATATTCAGCGGTTAAAAATGGTGATTATATTTTATTTTTATACTTGAATAATATGTTATTTAATATTTATCTAGTGTAATGAATCTTTTTTTTACAGATACAGTCAGTTATACGAATTCATTGTAACAGATCTCAATTACATTTCTCCCAGAGTAATATTAACTACAGTAAAATATTTCTTATTCTTCCAACACTGAAAAGTCAAAATATACATTTTATATTTTAACTGCATATAAATATTTAATCACATTGTAATTTGTAGGCACGTGACAATTTTTAGAGTTGTTATTCAGCAAATAAATATTTTTAAATGAAATTTGATAAAACTCCATTAGTGAGAGTTAAAAACAACTAAAAAAGCAATTTTGTTTTGAATCTCTCAATAACAATCCATTTGCTGGAAATAGTTCTAAAAATTGTCATTTGTTTGCTAATTACAGTTTTATTATATTTAATATTGTTTTAATTAATACTTCGATATTTAAAATTTCATTAGGTAATTCTATAGTTTTTAATATTATTATTGTTTCAAGAAAAATGAAAAAAATGATGTATTTTAGTTATATTAATAAGTATTACATCATTTGTTAAAATTAATTATTGTCTATCAATAATTAACAGTAAAGGTATTTTAATTACTAAATAAAATAGTTGTATTTATGTTGTGAAAAGAAAACAAAAACTACTGAATATTAATTTATTTTTTTTATTTGCATCGGTAAATTATGATTATTTAAAGAATCGAAAAAAAAAAAATAGTTTTTTAGTTATAAAAATGATACTGATATTAGCAGACATTTGAAAATTTTTTATCTTTTGAATCAATCAAAGTCATAAATAAAAAAATCTTATTTAAAAATTGCACTTGAGTGTAAAGTATCGTTAAAATTCATAATGCAAAAAATTTTGAATTATTACTAATTTCAATAGAAATTAATTAAGCAGATATTTAATAGTTTTAAGAATTTTTTTAAGAAATAAATTATGGCAAAAAAAAAATTAACCACTAGCAATTCTAATAATTTAAAAATGCAACTTTGTTTTAATAATTTTTCATAAAAAAATTTTTTGTTAAAAAAAATTTAAAAAATGGTCAAGACTGCTAACTTTTATGTGATCCAAAATTTCAGATGATCCTCAAGTTAGCCGAAAAAAAATGACAGAACACTAGATGTCAGCCAACTTCAGAGTCTTAGTTGACTAATTTTCTTTTGTTTCAGTGTAAAGATTCTATTTATTTGAAATAGTTCAGATTAATGATTATCTATTTGAAAAAAAAAAAATGGATTACACCTGCTTGCATTGATTTTTGTTTTCTACTTCTATTATTCTATACAATTTTGATATTCATAAAATAAAAATTCATATAAAAGATAAGCCGTAAAAAACATAACCTAAATTTACCCATAATTCGGTGTTGAAATGGCAGTAAAAAGAAGTATTACAGATGTTTCTAAACATACATGTCATTTTGAGTGGAGGATCAGTGACATAAGTTCATATTTAGAGAATTTTCACAATGATCTTTATCCTGATAAACAGCAGGAACTTCGTTCAGCTACATTCACAAGTGGTTCTGCTGTTGGCGATAAATGGTGTCTTAGAATGGCTATAAATTATGCACTATTTGATGATGACGATGTGCTAATTCAGCTAGAACCTGTTGGTGAATTTGATTTTGGAGTAAAAATAAAATTAACATTATTTATTTTAGATAATGAATACCTAAAAAAGCCAATTTTTGATCGCAATACAGTTTTTGACATACGCGATGAATTCAATTACGCAGTTCTTATGTCTAAAAACGAACTCCTGCAAAATAAAAATAAACTTATGTTCAACGACACGCTGATTATTGGTGCTGAACTTACGTTGTTTGACATTACTTCATCATGGCTTAATGATGCCATGTCATTTGGACCAAAATGCCGACGAATAACTGATGACTACAAAGATTTTTTGAAGAAAGAGCAAGATACTGATACTGATGTTATTATTAAAGTAGATGACAAAATATTCAAGGCTCACAGGGCAATTTTGATGGCACGCTGTCCTGATTTATTCAAGCTCTTCCCAACTCGGAAGGATGGAAGCCAAGTAGAAGGTAGAATTACCATACCTGACATGGACCCTGGAACTTTTTACACCATCCTTCAGTTCATTCATACTGATGAAGTAAAAGACTTGGATGATAATGCTGAGAATTTATTGAATGCTGCTAACAAACTTAAATTAAAAAAACTTAGACAAATGTGTCTGCAATCGCTTCTCAAATCTCTAACTTGTCAATCCGCTCCAAGATTACTTAAATTCGCTTATGATTACAATCTTTCGGAAATATTGGACTTCATTGCTAATTATATTGTATCCAATGCTGATGAAGTTATTGATACTCCAGAGTATAAGACCTTCACAGAGTTAAATCCATCAATTAGTTATATTCTCTTTGAGAAATTTATAACTTTTAAAGTCGATGGTTCAGCGTTTAAAAATGGTGATTATATTTTATTTTTATACTTGAATATTATGTTATTTATTATTTATCTAATGCAATGAATCTTTTTTTTTTGCAGATACAGCCAGTTAAACGAATTCATTGTAACAGATCTTAATTACACCTCTCCCAGAGTAATATTAACTACAGTAAAATATTTCTTATTCATCTAACACTGTGAAGTTAGAATATACATTTTGTATTAACTGCATATAAATATTTGATCATATTGAAATTTGCAGGCCTAGACAATTTTTAGAGTTTTTTTTTTCAGTAAATAAATATTTTTAAATGAAATTTAATAAAACTCCATATGCGGGAATTTATACAAACAGAAAAAGCAATTTTTTTGATTTCTAGTTAACAATCCATTTGCTGAAAATAGTTCTAAAAATTGTCATTTGTCTTTTAATTACGGTTTTATTATGTTTAGTATTTTTTTAATTAATACTTTGATACTTAATATTTTATTTGGTGATTTTATAGTTTTTAATATCATTATTTTTTCAAGAATAATGAAAAAAAATGATGTATTCTAATTAATAAGCAATGTATCACTTATTAAAATTATTTTGAATGTACGGTCTATCAATAATAAATGCATGTTAATTACTAGATAAATATTTTTATTTTGTTTAATTTTTATTTATTGCAATTGTTTTTTTCAGATAAGAAAATTCAAATTCCTCATGTGGTTTCATCGCTGGATTTTTCATGAGATAGAGCGAGACATTTTATGATGAATCAGTCTTTGTACGATATTCAGTTAAATTTTTAACAAATAATATTATTATTAATTATTAGTATTGTAATTTATGCAAAAATGAAAAATATAAGAAATACGAATATAAATGAAGATTAATTGATGATATTTGATAAAAAAAATTATTTACAAAATAATAGGAAGGTAGTTAATTGTTTTGTACCCAAAATATGGTAAAAAAATTAAATTAATATTGTTTTTCTTATTTTTATTTAGTTCTATTTCAAAAAATGAGAGATTGAAACAATAAATCTAAAAATATAATAAATAAATTTTATTTGTATCACATAATGAGTGTGTTTTACAAAGATTACTTTTTTTTTTTTTTTTTTTTTAAAAAATAATTTTTAATAATCTCTTTTTTTCAATCTTTCTTTCTCTTATCTTAACATTAATTTTGGTATTCACAATTTCTATTTTGCTTTGCAGATTTTTTATAATTATTTAATTATATTATGACTGTATACCAAATTCCAAATTTCGCTTATCTTTCCATTATCATTTCGGTCGCTTATACTTAACATTGTTTTATTTATTTATAGACTCAACATTTTTCGTATTCTTTCAGACGCATGCGTACTATATCACCTGATCTACTCACTCACATCTTCATTATTATTATCACATTTCATCCATTTCCCATTCTCTTTGTATTATTTGTATTTCTTTTATTAATTTACAAAAATTTTTATAAACTTTTCCTTCTAATTTCTCCATTATACTAATTCTTATTATTCTCTCGCTACTTTTATATTCCTTCCATTCAGACATCAGATCTTTACAATCATTATTTAATTTTTCAATAAGTCTAAAAATATTTGTCCTTAAAAAAAAAAATAAATTGCAAGTCCATATTTTTACTCAATATAGATCTCTCCAGTCGTCAAATTAAATTACACGCAGTCATAGAGGAAGAAAAAATCTTATTCTTATTCAGAACATTTAGTTAGCATTCGGTTTTATATAGCTTACAGTTATTCCATTTGGTCTTCTGTTTCATTCAATACTTCTCTACAGAGAAAAAATACAAGGCTTTATTTCTTATCTTAAGTATCAATAAATTTCTCTGTAAAAACAAGTAAGTAGTAACTAACAAGGTAAAGTATATATTATAGTATATAGTAATGAGTAGTATCGAGTATAAAGTTTAGAATCTTGGAAAAAAATAATTTCATTTGTATTATTAATATTGTTTATTAATTTTTTGAAAATTGTAACACAGGATTAAAAGAGAATTTTTTAGTAGGAATCAAACTGGACGACGTTTTATTGGTTGATCAATGCAGAAAGGATTGAAAAATTAAAAAATGACACAAGTAGGTTATACAAGTGTTGAAAAGCACGAGATTATATTTGAATGGAGAATAAATGAGATAAGCTTGTATTTGACAAATTTCGATGGACATCGTAAAGGAGACGTAATCCTATATTCGGAGGAGTTTTCAGCAGGGTCGAAGATGAAAGACAACTGGAAACTTCAACTGAAATTTAATGATTCAGATTCAAATGAAAATAAAGATTATGTGTCACTTTATCTTTACTTATTGAGTAAAAAAAAAGTGATCAATGCTAATTGTACATTTTTCTACTTGATAAATAACTCTTATGAATTAAATCTTCGTAGTTATAATAAAACTTTTGAAAATAGTATTGGGTATGGTATTCGGAAGTTTTATTCAAAAAAATTGCTGTTGAAAGAGAAAGATCGGTATATTCCGAACGATACATTGGTAGTTGGTGTGAAATTGATTGTGTTTGATCGTAGTACTACAATTCCAAAGGATTTAAAAAATAAGCCAACACATCGATTGATTGATGACTTAGTGAATATTTATAAGAATGAAAAAAATACTGATATTGTCTTAAAAGTGGAAGATAAATCATTTAAGGCTCATAAAACAATTTTAAAGGCGCGCTGCCCAGTACTGTTATCTGAATTATTTGCAATTGGGACAAAAGAAGAAGACGAAGACGAAGACAGTATTACAATACCAGATATGAATTCCAACACTTTTGGTAATATTCTTGAATTCATTTACTCTGATCGAGTTGAGGATTTAAATGATGCTGAAAATTTATTAAAATCTGCTGTAAAATATGACTTACAAGGTCTAAAAGAACTGTGTGTTCAATCTCTTTACAGAGGTTTAAATGTTATTAATGCACCGAGATTACTTGATTTGGCAAATAAATACAATATTTTAGAACTACTGGAATTCGTTTCTGACTTTATTGTTCTCAATGCTGAGAAAATTATAAATACTTCAGAATATCAAGCCATAGAGGAATCAAAATCATCAATAGGTATTATTCTGATTAAAAAAATTGCAGCTTTTAAAATAAATGGTATTCTTAAACTCAATAATTCTATTAAACAAGAAAAAGGTAAATTTTATTTTTTAATACTCTTTAATAATTTATTATTTTTCATTAATATTTTTATTTGTTTATTTATTAGATGAATAAATGGTGTTCCAACGATGAAGACGTCTGAATAGGGTTCAATTCTATGTTGACAAGTTTATTTTATTTTTTTTATACTTTTTATCAGGACGATAGGTCTGTTATACTGATAAACATCAAACTTGACCACTTTCTTAAAATTCAATACTTGTCTATCCTTTGTTATTTTATAATCTATATCAGCTTAAGATTTTTTAAATGTATTATATTCTTATTTAAATAACAAATTAATAATTTGAAAGCCATACTTGATCAATTATTAATTGATGATGATATTTTGTATGTTTTAATAAGAATAAATTCATCAGCAGAAAATGAGTTTAAAAAATATATTTTATTAATTTAATTTTCCTAGCAATCATGTTCCATTTATCGAAGTTATTATTTTAGAATAAAATTATAATTATAATACTGAAGTCAACCGTCAGCTGTCAATTTTGAAAATTTTAATAACAAATCAATTACAAGAAAAAAATAATTCTAAAAATTGTCACTTAAAATTTTTATTATTATTATTATTATTATTATTTTATCATTAACGATTTTTCTCAACGAATTTAAAAATTTTAGGCCGAAAGTTCTTTTCTAGATGTCGCCACTTTTCTCTGCCACAGTTAGCGACTTACTATACCTGCATTAAATGAGCTGTCACAATTTATTGCTAACGTTCACCAGTAAAATTATTTTACTTTTATTTCAAGATTAAATTATTTGCATACTTGTGTTTCCGATGAGGTTTTATACAATGGAATCCTGGGAAGGTAATCTCATTTTTAATATTAAATTTTAATGAAACGAAAGTTAGCCAACGTTTTTAATTTTTAGATTTGTGTTTCATTTATTAAATTAGAACTAAAAATAATGTTTTGGAATTGCACTTACAATTATTCAAATTATTCACAAATTAACTTTTTTTTTTATTTTTTTGTCATATTTTATTCTATGCTAAAAATTCTGAAAATTTTTGGCTGTCGGCTGATTTAATTTTCATTACATATGATATTTGTAAATGATAAATTAATTTAATCAAGCAATATGTTTTATTAATTATGTTTTTATTTGTTCTTCAAGATGTAATGATCCACTCTGTGGCAGCTGAACATTTTCCCGGTGCTGAAACTGATGAAGATTTTATAAAAGCCGCCTTTAAAATGCATTTTGAAAAAAAAAAAATGAATTGCCAAATGTAAGAGACATTAAAAAAAAATCTAAATGCGAAGTGAAAGCTAAGTAGATGTTGGATAAAACGAAACAAGATTTTTCAAGAATGTCATTAGACAAAAGAGTCGAAGCTTATAATTCTGCAATGACCCTTGCACTGCCTGGATCGGAGTCATTGGCTCATGCTTTCGCAAATCGTTCAATAGTCTTATCAAATGCGGCAGTGTACGAAGAATCTTTAAAGGATATAGACCATGCTCTAAAAGCTAATTATCCAGATAACTTGAAAGCTTTGTTGTTTGCTCGGAAAGCCAAAAACCTATTAGCTTTAGACCCAACAGCAGATATTGAACAGACTTTGAATGAAGCTAGACAATGGGCATTGAAAATGAACGACAAGGAAAAAAATAAGCTTTTGGACAATCTTGATAAGTTAAAAACGAAGAATTATAAAAAACCAGTTAAAGAACGTGATGGTCGGATATTTGTGCCATCTCCACCGAACGGTAATACAAAAATTAAAGATACTTCAGCTGCTATTACTATTAACTATTCTGAAAAATTCGGACGTCATATCGTAGCTACTAGAGACATGATGGCAGGTGAAGTAATTTCTGTTAAACGAGCTTACGCCTTAGTACTTTCAAGTGAATACAGATTCAAACTTTGTTGGAACTGTTCAAAGCATTGCTGGTCATCTGTTCCCTGTAATACATGTTCAAACGTTATTTATTGCAGTGAAGAGTGTCGAAATGTTGCCTGGAAAGATTACCATGACATAGAATGTTCTATTTTGACTGGTTTATTGTCCTCAACTCATCATTATGAAGATATCAGTCTTATGAGCTTGAGATTATTTATTAAAGCTATCAAAGAATTCGGGACTGTAAAAGCGTTGTATGAAAGTGTTCAAAAGATCGAATCAACAGAACAGAAGGTGAGAACTTATAAATTTTTCTTAACTTATCCAACTCTAAAATTTTTTTGTCCGCAGATTTCATTAAGAAAAGTTTCATTGATGGTATTTACGATGACAAAAAATACGCAAGTGTTTACCCATTATGTCGAATGCCGGTGAATTTGCGATGCAAAGTTCAATGGGCCCTCATTATATAATGTTTTTGGGAAAAAAATGGAAAGTATGGAGGAATTACGAAATTATGAATATGGTGTTTTTGTTGGAAAATTACTTTACCACCACACTGTGATAAGTAGTACTAACTTGGGCACGGTATTTATTTTTATCTTTTATTGAATACTTATTATTCATTGATTTTTTTTTTTTTTAGTTCTTTAACTGTTCAATTAATACTAAATATAACTAAATTTTTAAACTGTTTAATTTCTAGGTTCATACTCCAAACACAAACAATGAGGTACTTCACTGTGGTGGACTGTTAAACCCTCTAGAGTCGTTGTACAATCACAGTTGTGACCCTAATACGGGAATTATTGTGTGTCTTGACATGTCTGCATTCATAACTCTGCAAACTATTAAAAAAGGTGAACAGTTGTTTATTTCTTACGGATAAGAATTTCATAAAATGACAACTCCTGAGCGAAGAGACGAATTACAAACTAATCGAAGCTATTGGTGCGATTGTCACGCTTGCATCAACAATTGGAATCCGGGACATGTTTTGCCATCAGCTGAGGTAAATGAATTTTTTTTTTTTTTTCTATTTTCAAGACAAATTATTTGATCTATTTGTTTATTAACTATCAATTGCTTTTTCAACAGAATAAATTACCGAAAGAAGTCGCCAAAAAAATTTCAGTGTTTTTCTCGGTTTGCCCTGTCCAAATTCTAAAACAAAATTCTCAAGACTATGACACTATATCTCCTGAAGAAATTAATAAGCTAATGTCGCGTATATTTGAAGTAATCAATCTAATAGGACGATACGATATATATCCTTGTGAAGAAATATCACAGGGAAAATCTTTACTGTATTCTATTACAAGATGGATCTTATGTTACCAATCACCGATTGAATCGTAAAAGTTTGTTTTTTAATATTTATGATGTATTTGGAATCTCTTGTCCAAATGAGAAAAAAAAATTTTTATGACTATGACATTACATCTCCAGAAGAAGTTGAGAAGTTGATGTTGTGGATATTTACAATAATCAATGTAATAGGAAATTTCGATGTTTATCCTTGTGAACAAATATCAGTAGGAAAAGGTTTACTGCATTGCATTATAAAATGGATTGAGCGTTACTAATCACCGATTGATTCGCAAAAATCCTTTTTTTAATATTACGAGTCATTTTAAATGATACAAAATATGATAGTTTTAAGTATTTTGTGAAACTACCAAGTTAGGAGGAGTTCATTACTCAGATGCATTTTCATTATTTTACAGTTAATATGTTCTTTACATAACTAATGGATTTAATTATTATTACGACTATTAGATATTTTTTTATTACTCAAGCGTGATTATTTAGCTTCCTCTATATACCTTAATATGTTTATTAATACTTGCAAATTGTTTTTAACTATTGATAATTATAATTATACAAGCTTGATTAATTCTTATTCATATAATTCCATCTCATAACCATCATGATCTTTACTGTTTCAATGTAAAACAAAGAAAATGAGAAATAAAATTGAAATTAAAATTTTAATAGTCACTTGTGCATTAATAACTCTTGCGGTAAAAAATGCGATATCCACATCATATGATCATCTTTTAGTTTATTTATACTAAACTTAGAGAAATTTATCTGCAATTCCTTCACAAAATTCAAGCTTACCAATTCGCTGCGAGATTACTTAAATTTGCTTATAATTACAATCTTTCGAAACTATTGGACTATATTTACAATTTTATTGATTCTAAAGCTAACGAAGTTATTAATACTCCAGAATGTCAGACCTTCATGTATGAATAAAAAAAAAGTATTGAGACGAAGAAAAAAGTATTGGATTGACTAGAAAACCAATACTTTTTAATACTTTTTTCTTTATCTCAATATTTTTTTTTATTTTTAAGAAATTTGTAAGTTTAAAAGTCGATGTTACTCTTATACTCAATGGGTTAAATATGATGATTATATTTTATTTTTTTATTTGAATATTCTATTTTTTATTATTTATCTAACGTAATAAATTTTTTCGCCGATGAAATGAGTAAACAAATTCATTTCGTCATGTAATGCTATCCTCCATTTGCCAGATCTTATGGTTACTCATGCAAACAATTGACTGCAACTACACACTTGCATATATTTTTTCCATAAGTAATATAAGAATAAATATGATGTGTTCATAAATATAAATATATTTAGTAATATTTACAAATTAGTTAATCATTTTCAATATCCAGTTAAATTTTTATAAGTCAACATTCAGATGTTAAAATTTTATGCGCATTCATTTGTTTTTGATTGCTGCCAAAAGTTATCGTTTTAACAATGAATATTATTTTAATGTATTATTTTTATTGAAAATTGTTACAAATAAATTCGCATCATACAATAAATTTCACATTTTTAAAAATCAAGTTTATCTATGTAAAAAAAATTAACTTTCTTTTTATTAAATAGCAGAATTTGGCAATAAAAAAAATTACTTATTCATAATTTTACCGCCACTAAGTTTCAAACACAAGTGCCACGCCACCGAAGCCAACTGACACAAGCATTGTTAGCATTGTTTTGTTTTAGCCTTCACCGCCATTTTACTTTCATCTCAAGTTACAAGTAAGCGTCGTGTCATGCAAGGAAGTTTTTTCTATTAAAAAAATTAACAATTTATTTTAATTAGTAGATATTATCTCTGTAAGAGTTTTCCTTAAATACTTCTTAGCATCATAATTAATTAATATAGTTTCATTTTATAAGAAAAGTCGTATTTGACTAATCGCGTGCATTGAATATGACGCAGTAGTTCATTGATATAACGTATAAGTGATAAAGTTCATCAGTAAAATTATTTAACTTTAATTTCGAGAGTAAAATATTTATGTATTTGTCTTTCCGTTACATTTTTACACAATGGAGTTCATGGGAGGTAATCTCATTTTTATTAGTATATTTGAATAATTCTACAGTTTGCCGAATGTTTTAATTTTTAGATTTTTGCTTAAGGAAATCCTTTCGCTCCAGTTGAGTCAAAACAATTGTAGTAGTCAATATACGATAAATTAAAATAAAAAACCCATAAAAATTCCTAAAATTAAATAATAAATAGTATGAGGCATTAATCGTTGAAATTTTGAAAAAAAAAAAAAAAAAAATAGTTAAATACAAAAATTAATTTGACTCTTTCAAAACAGCTGCAAGTAATCTGTCCGTGATTTGGCAACGCTGTACTTCGATTGTTTACATTTTCATTTGCACAATATAACCTTAACCACGTTTAAGCTTTTGCAGTCAGTGTAAATAAATAAATTAGTTTGAATTTATTGAATGGTCTGAAGCTCCCGCGATACGCAACGTTGCCAAATATTTTGACTCCATATATTAATGTAGGTTACTTGAGAATTTTTTGTGATTTTTAAAAATTAATTTCTCAATAAATATCTCGGTAACTGATATATTTTATTACAAAAAAAGAAACCTGAATATTTCGAAAATCTAATTTTTAGGTTTTTTTTACTTCATCTAATCCATGACTGATAATATAATTCGAGAAATACTGCAAACGCCTGACTTTCTCGTAAGACTCTGAACAAAAATACTAACATTTAAAAATTTTATTTTCTCAAAAATTTGTCCGGTAAAGTATAATCTAAACCTCACTATTAGATAAATAAAGACCTTAACTATTAGAAAAAAATTGAATTTACTCATAAACTAATATTTTTTATTTTACATTGGCGGCGAAAGGACCTCCTTAAATAAATTATGTCAATACAAAAAAAAATCACTAAAATTTACACAATGTTCAAAATAATTTTTTGAATTCTTATACTACCTATACTAATCTACATTCTTTACTATATCATATTAAATGACACTTGAAATATTATAATTATCTTTCACTAAGATCAAATATTTTCACGATTCTAAACTCTTCAATCTAACAAAAATAAACATAAAGCTAAATATCAACAACAATGTCGATTAAATATTTTAGCAAAAATAAAGCGAACAACAAAATAAGCAAAAAAAAAATATCGATCGACCTTTGGGTCTGACTTGGTAGCAACGAGATTTGAGATGATCCCCACTAGCAGCACCGTAGTAGCAGGAACAACATAGAACAATATATAGCTGTACTCCGTCTCTTTCGATCCCGAAATTTATTTGATTACAACCAAAAATACTTTCTTTTTTTTTTTTTAATTGCAATTACAGTTCCTCAAATGTTGAAAAATGTATTTTTTTTTTTAACTTTTTTTGTAATGTTTTTTTCAATACAAAAAATTTTTAGATGTCGGCTAATTTTCATTATATTTACTATTTGTCAATCTTAATTAAATTTTAGGAAGTATTATTCTCCAATAATTAGATTTTTTTTGTTTTTTATCTTAGATTTTGAAATCATAGATTTGACGGATAAATTTGTGACCTTCAGTACGCACGCATACGCAACAGAGCATTTTTCTGATGCTAAAACTGATGAAGATTTTATAAAAGTCGCTTTAAAAATACATGGTAAAAAGGAAGATGAATTGCCAAATTTAAGTGACATAAAAAAACCTAAATGCGAAGTAAAAGCTAAGCAGATGTTGGATAAAGCGAAACGAGGTTGTTCAAGTATTTCATTAGGGAAATCAATCGAAGTCTATAATACTGCAATGAGCCTAGCACTACCTGGATCAGAGCTATTGGCCCATGCTTATGCAAATCGTTCAATAGTCTTGTCAAATGCAGCGATGTATGAAGAATCTTTAAAGGATATAGAGCAAGCTCTTAAAGCTAATTATCCAGACCACCTGAAAGCTTTGTTGTTCGCTCGCAAAGCCAAAAATTTATTCGCTTTAGACCCCACAGCAGATATTAAAGACACTTTGAATGAAGCTAGGCAATGGGCATTGAAAATGAACGACAAGGAAAAAAAGAAGCTTTTGGACAATCTTGAAAAGATAAAAAAAAAAAAATACAAAAAACCAGTTAAAGAACGGGATAATCGAATATTGATGCCATTACCTCATAATGATAATCCAATAATTAAAGATACTTCAGGTAGTATTACTATTAATTATTCTGAAAAATTCGGACGTCATATCGTAGCTACTAAAGACATGATGGTGGGTGAAGTAGTTTCTGTGAAGCAAGCTTACGCGTTAGTACTTTCATGGGAATATAGGTTGAAACGTTGTTGGAACTGTTCGAAGCATTGCTGGTCATCTGTTCCCTGTAATACATGTTCAAACGTTATTTATTGCAGTGAAGAGTGTCGAAATGTTGCCTGGAAAGATTACCATGGCATAGAATGTTCTATTTTGACTGGTTTATTGTCCTTAGCTCATCATTATGAAGATATCAGTCTTATGAGCTTGAGATTATTTATAAAAGCTATCAAAGAATTCGGAACAGTAAAAGCGTTGTATAAAAATATTCAAAAGATGGACTCAACAGAAGGTAAGGACTTATAAATTCGTCTTGACTGATCATACTTAGAAAATTTTTTTGTCTGCAGATTTCATTATGAAAAGTTTCACTGATGGTATCTACGATGACAAAAAATACGCAAGCGTTTACCCATTAAGTCGGAAGCCGATGAATTTGCGATTTCAAGTTCAATGTGCCGTCAAAACTATACATTACATGTACTTAATGGCTTTAATGACCGATATTTTTGGGAAAAAAATGGAAAATATGGAGGAATTACGAAATTATGAACATGCTGTTTTTGTTGGGAAATTACTTTACCATCATACTGTGTTAAGTTCTAGTAACAGATACGCGGTATTGATTTTTACCTCGACTTTACCACTTATTATTTATTTATTTATTTTTTTTTTGTTTTTCAACTGTTTAATTAAACTTTAATAAAACTAAATTTTTAAACTGTTTAATTTTTAGATTCCTGTTCCAAGCACTAACGAACAACTTGAATGTGGTGGAGTGTTAAACCCGTTAGAATCGTTGTTCAATCATAGTTGCGACGCTAATACAGGTTACTTTCTGTGTCGTGATATGTCGACATTCATGACTCTGCAACCTATAAAAAAGGGTGAACAGTTGTTTATTTCCTACGGACCAGAATATCATGAGGTTCCAACTCCGAAGCGAAGAGAAGAATTACAAAAAATTCAAAATTTTTGGTGCGATTGTCAAGCTTGCATCAACAATTGGAATCCGGGGCATGTTCATCCATCAATTTTTGTAAAGGAACTTTTTTTTTTTTCAATTTCGAAGACAAATTATTTTATCTATTTCTTTATAAAATATCAATTGTTTTTTCAACAGGATAAATTACCGGCAACAATCGTAACAAATTTGTCATTGATTTTTTTGAAGTGTATTTGCCAAATTCAAGAACAAAATTTTTATGACTATGACACTACATCTCCAGAGGAAATTCAAAAGTTGTTGTTGTGTCTATTTACAGCGATCCATCTAGTAGGATATTATGAAATGTATCCTTGTGAAGAAATATCACACGGAAAAACTTTACTGCTTTGCATTATCAAATGGATCGAGAATTACCAATCAACCGATTGATTCGTAAAAATCTGTTTTTTAATATTAAAAGTCATTTTAAATGACATCAAATATGATAGTTTAAGTATTTTTGTGAAACTACTAAGTTCAGAAGAGTTTATTACTCAGTTACATTTTCATTATTTTACAGTTAATTTTTTCTTTACATAACTAATGAATTTAATTATTATTATGACTACTATATATTCTTTTATTACTCAAACGTCATTGTCTAGCTTCCTCTATATACCTTAATATGTTAATTAATACTTGCAAAATGTTTTTAACTATTGATAATTATAATTATACAAGCTTGATTGATTCTTATTTATATAATTGTATGTTGTTAGCATCATAAGCTTTACTGTCTTAATGTAAAACAAAAAAATTGGGGAATAAAATTGAAATAAAAATTTTAATAATTACTTTTGTATTAATAACTCATATAAAAAAAAAAAGTGATATTTAGATCATATGATCATCCTTTAGTTTATTTAGTTTGACCAAGTTTACGACTGGTAGTTACTACTGTAAAACGCATTTTTAAATAAGCTGCCGTGTTTTCATATTCAATCGTGTATTTACACGTTGTATTAAATCGAATTTTTAATAGAAATTTAATAAATAATGAAAATTTTAATTCAAGAAATTTGTGAATTTGCATGATACTGAAATCAGTACACAACCTGTCAAATTTTTATTGTATTAAAGAAATAAATTAGGACAAAAAATTTAGAAAAGTTTCACTTTTAGTTTTTTAAAATTTCTATATGTAAATTTTTTGTATTATTTTTTTTTTTTTTTTGTAAAAATCTGGTTGTTTAAAAAATCCAAAAAATTGTCAGATATCTGTTACTTTCAGCATCATGAATTTGCAAGTACTCAGCCCAGTAATAAAAATTTTTAATTATTTAAGAATTATTCATGCGACTTATTCTTATTACTGCAGTTATAAAATTGCAACTATAATTACAATTCTTTATTTTACAAAAACATTTATCTAGTTAATTAAGTAATTTAAATCTGTCGTATTACATTGTATTTCAAAAATTCACAGCTTATAATTATTGTTTTTTTTTTTTTGTGATTACAAAAATATTTATGTTAATTGGTATAAAGTCATTTTTGGTGAAATGTAAGGAACACACTCTCTTGGACTGTGTAACTTTATTTCAGATTTTTAATGCTTTTATTCAAGCTAATCGACGGTCTATAACTTCATCTTTACCAAATTTATTTTTTATCACCACAGAACTAGAAGTGTAAAATCTAACTTCTTACTAGACTTGCTAATGACATTGAAGTTAACCGACGTTCAAAAATTTTAGATTTTTTTTATTAATTAAATTAGAACAGAAAAAATATTTTTACAAAATTGCACGTATAATTTTTAAAACTTTTTATATGTGAAATTTTTTCAATAAAAGAATAAACTCTAAAAATTTTTAGATGACTTGCAATTACACCCATACACGCAGCAGAAAGTTTGATTTTTATTTTCTAATGGAGGAAACTACATGATTAAAAATTTTTGATCGTTAAAATTGATGTTATTTTAAATAATAACTAAATTTATGGACTATAATTAATTAATTAATATTTTAAAAAAGAATTTAAACAAATTTCAACTGCAGTTTCGGCATATTATATGACATTAGCTGTTTATACTCGACCTGCATAGAGTAGTTCGCATTTGATCCGTCAGGTAGCATATTTAAGTGGATGATTTCCCAAATTGGATTACATTTGTAATTTTATTGTATTCAACGCTGAGAAAGTTGTTAATATACTTTGGAGTATCAGACCTTCATATAGTCAAATCTATTAATTAGTATAAATGTTTTTAAGAAATATGTAAGTTTAAAAGGCGATGGTACTTTTATACTCAACGGCTCTAAAAATGGTGATTGTATTTTATTTTTTACTCGAATATTATGTTTTTTTATTATTTACCTAATATAATGATTTTTTTTGCAGGTGAAATGAGTTAAGCAAATTTAATGTGACATGTAATGTAATCCTCCGTTTACCAAATCTTATGATTACCCATGCCATCAATTAACTGGAACTATACACATGCATATATTTTCTACATAAATATTATAAGAATGAAAATAAAATATTTTCGCAATAAGTTTAAAAATATTGAGTAAGATGTACTCGTTAATTAATCATCTTCAATATTCGGTTTAATTTTTATAAATCATCATTCAGATGTAGTTAAAACTTTATAAGCATTCAATTGATGGTTTTAATTGTTGCTAAGTTAACGTTATTAACAATTCAAATGTATTTATTATTAAAAATTGCAAATAAATTTGCATCGTACATACAATATTTTCCACATTATTAAAAGTAAAGTTTATCTATGTAAAAAAATTAACTTAACTTGATTAAATAACAAAATTATGTAATCAAAAAATTTGCTTATCTATAAATTTACCGCCATTAAACTTCAAACGGCAGTTAAGCCAACAAAGCCAACTAATATAACCATTGTTTTTACTGAGCCTTCACCGCCACTTTACTTTCATCTCAAGTTTTAAGCAAGCGTCGTCAGTCGAATAAAAAAGTTTTTTTTATTATAGAAATTAATAATTTATATCAACTAGTCGATATTATCTTCTCTATAAAAGTTTTCCTAAATGCATTATAATTAATGAATATAGTTCCATTTCATAAAAAAATCATAATTGACAAATCGCGTTTGAATGCGAAATGTAACCTGCATTAAATATGACGTAATAGTATATTGATAACGTTCACCAGTGAAATTTTTTCACTTTAATTTTGCGAGTAAATTATTTACTTACATATTTGTCTTTACATTAAGTGTAATAATGTATGTATGAATAACACTAACGTTAGCTGACGTTATTAATCCGAAGACACGATAGTGTCTCGCGCCAAGTACACGTCCAACATATGGCGTGAGACAACGTGTCTTTATTCTCTAATCATATGTCAACATAACCTCTTTACATATTTAGCTCTATATTTTTTATTATTACTAAGACACTAACACTTTACACCATTGTTAATAAGTTTCTTTTTACCAATTATACATATATTACAAAAAAATGTTGGGTCTTAACAATTATTTAACTAATCGCGAGTTTGAAAATTTTTACTTGCGCCTGTTTTCAATTCTACGAGAGATTTTACAAATTTAGAGCGAATTTTATTATTTCGAAGTTGGCACTACTTAACTCTGTTATTCTACCATCTAAATAGCTAGTATACTAAATACTGAACTTAGCGCCCATAAGTAGTTGGTCTTTAGTTTAGAATTCCAATATACGACAGTAGGTGGAGCCACAAAACCATTACCACTGTATTTTAGAAGCACATTGGTCAGTCACGCGCATCATTTAAAGTAAAAATATTGTAATAACTTCGTTTGTAATTAAATTATTACAAAAATCCATGAATAATGAATTAGCTGCATAACTTAAAAAGTAAATATTTGGAATTTAAAAATGCTGATAAAATATTTGAATATATTAAGGGATATAATCAAATATTTTATCAGCATTTTCGTGTACTTGGCGCGACGGTTTACAGTGAAACTGTTTTTTGTGGGATTTTTGAATTTATTCAATTAGAGCTAAAAATTATTTTTTCGAATTGCACTTACAGTTTTTCAAAATTATTACAAATGAATTTCAAAAAAATTTTTTTGCAATATTTTTTCAATTAAAAAAATTATAAAAATTTTTAGATGTCGGCTAACTTAATTTTCATTAAATTTGATATTTGTAAATGTTAAGTTAATTTTAGCAATTATTATTGTCCATTAATTAGATTTTTATTTGTTCTTTAAGATTTGATGGATAAATTTGTGACCTTGAGTATGCACGCATTAGCAGTTGACCATCTTCACGATGCTAAAACTGATGAAGATTTTGTAAAAATCGCTTTAAAAATGCACGCCGAACAACAAGATGAATTGCCAAATTTAAATGATATAAAAAAACCTAAATGCGAAGTAAAGGCTAAAGGGATGTTGGATAAAGCGAAACGAGGTTTTTCTAGTAGTTCATTAGGCAAAACCATCGAAGTCTATAATACTGCAATGAGCCTAGCATTGCCTGGATCAGAGTTATTGGCCCATGCTTATGCAAATCGTTCAATAGTCTTATCAAATGCGGCAATGTATAAAGAATCTTTAAAGGATATAGAGCATGCTCTCAAAGCTAATTATCCCGATAACATGAAGGCTTTGTTGTTCGCTCGGAAAGCCAAAAATTTATTCGCTTTGGACCCAACAGCAGATATTGAAAACACTTTGAATGAAGCTAGACAATGGGCATTAAAAATGAACGACAAGGAAAAAAATAAGCTTTTGGATAATCTTGAGAAGTTAAAAACAAAGACGTATAAAAAACCAGTTAAAGAACGTGATAATCGAATATTTGTGCCATCTCCTCCGAATGATAATCCAATAATTAATGATACTTCAGCTGCTATTGCCATTAACTATTCTGAAAAATTCGGACGTCACATCGTAGCTACTAGGGACATGATGGCGGGTGAAGTAGTTTCTGTAAAACGAGCTTACGCCTTGGTAATTGCATGTGACTACAGGTTCAAACTATGTTGGAACTGTTCAAAGTATTGCTGGTCATCTGTTCCCTGTAATACATGTTCAAACGTTATTTATTGCAGTGAAGAGTGTCGAAATGTCGCCTGGAAAGATTACCATGACATAGAATGTTCTATTTTGAATGGTTTATTTACCTCGATTCATTATTATGATGATATCGGTCTTATGAGCTTGAGATTATTTATAAAAGCTATGAAAGAATTCGAAACAGTAAAAGCGTTGTATGAAAGTGTTCAAAAGATTGATGCAACAGAAGGTAAGAACTTATAAATTTTATTTTGACTCATTATTCTACTTAAAAATTTTTTTGTCTGCAGATTCTATTATGAAAAGTTTCACTGAGGGTATTTACGATGACAAGAAATACGCAAGTGTTTACCCATTATATCGCAAGCAGATGGATACGCAATTTAAAGTTCAATGTGCCGCCAAAACTTTACAAAACATGTATATTATGGCTTTGACGAGCAATATTTTTGGAAAAACAATGAAAAACATGGATGAATTTTACTTTACCATCATACTGTGTTGAGTCGTTCTACCACACGTGCGGTATTTATTTTTACCATATCTTAAATATTATTTATTTATTTTTTTATAGTTATTTAACTGTTTTATTAAACTGAAAAAAACTTAATTTTTAAACTATTTAATTCTTAGATCTATGCTCCAACTAAGGGTGAATTACTTTACTGTGGTGGAATCTTAGATCCGCTAGAGTCGTTGTACAATCACAGTTGTGACCCTAATATGGGTTACTTTCTGTGTCGTGATAAGACTACTACATTCATAACTCTGCAACCTATAAAAAAAGGTGAACAGTTGTTTATTTCTTACGGACCAGATTTTCATGAGATGCCAACTCCAGAGCGAAGAGAACTATTACAAAATGATCGAAGCTTTTGGTGCGATTGTCACGCTTGCATCAACAATTGGAATTCGAAACACGTTTTTCCATCAGCTTGGGTAAATAGTTTTTTTTTTTTATTTTGAAGACAAATTATTTGATCTATTTCTTTATATACTATCAATTATTTTTTCAACAGAATAAATTACCGAAAACACTCGCAACAAAAATGTCAATGATTCTTTTGGCGTGTATTGTCCATATGAAAAAACAAAATTTTAATGACCTTGACACTACACCTCCAGAGGAAGTTAAGAAGCTTATGTCGGATATATTTACAATAATCAATGTAGTAGGACGTTATGATATATATCCTTGTGACGAAATATCGGTAGGAAAAAGTTTACTGCATTGTATTATCAAATGGATCGAGAGTTACCAGTCACCGATTGATTCGTAAAAATCTGTTTTTAAATGTTAAGAGTCATTTTAAATGACATTAAGTACGATAGTTTATTAAGTATTTTTGTGACACTATTAAGTTGAGAAGATTACTTAGAAGATGCATTTTCATTATATTACAGTTAATTGGTTCTTTATATAAGCAATGGATATAGTTATTATTACTACTAGATATTTTTCATTATTCAAGCATAATTATAGAGCTTTCTTTATATGTCTTGTTTATTAAAACTTGCAAAATGTATTTCACTATTAATAAATAATCACAATTACACAAGTTTGATGGATTCTTACTTATATATAATTACATGTTATCAGCATCATGAGCTTTACGGTATCAATACAAAACAAAAAAATTGGGGAATAAAATTGAAATAAAAATTTTAATAATCATTATTGCATTAATAATTTATACCGATAAAAATGCGATATTCAGATCATATGATCATCCTTTAGTTTATTTATACTGATCAAGTTTACGACTAAGATGATAATGCTAAAAATTTATTTAAAGCTTCTTATTAACTGAAATTTCACGAACTTAAAAATATATTTCTGCAATCCCTTCACAAAATTCTAACTAGCCAATCCGCTCCAAGATGACTCAAATTTGCTTATGATTATAATCTATCGAAACTATTGGGTTACATTTCTGATTTTATTGTATTCAACGCTGACGAAGTTGTTAATACTTTCGAGTATCTGACCTTCATAGAGTCAAATCCATTAATTAGTATAAATGGCTCTAAAAATGGTGATTGTATTTTATTTTTTACTCGAATGTTATGTTTTTTATTACTTACTTAATTAATATAATGATTTTTTTGCAGATGAAATGAATTGAACAAATTTAATATGACTTGTAATGTAATTCTCAGTTTATCAAATCTTATGATTACCCAAACCAACAATTGACTGGAACTACACACATGCATATATTTTCTATAGAAGTATTGTGAGAATAAAAATAATATATTTATAAGTAGAAAAATATGTAGTAAAAATTACTAATTAGTTAATCATCTTAAATATCCGGTTTAATTTTTATGAATCATTAAGATTTAGTTGAAACTTTATAAGTTATAAGCATATTCAATTGATGGTTTTGATTGTTGCAAAGTTAACGCGATAACAATTCAAATGTATTTTTATTGAAAATTGATACAAATGGATTTGTATGGTACAATATTTTCCACATTATTAAAAGTGAAGTTTATTTACTTATGTAAAAGAATGTATTCAACTTTATTAAATAATAGTATTATAAATTTAAAAATTTGATGATTTATAAATTTGCCGCCACTAACTTCAAACAGCAGTGAAGCCAACAAAGCAAACTGACACAAGCATTGTTTTGACTTATAGCCTTCACTGCCACTTTACTTTCATCTCAAGTTACAAGCAAACGTCATTAGTATTTTTTTTATTACAGAAATTAATAATTTATGTCAATTAGTTGATATTACCTTTTCTATTAGAGTTTTCATTAAGACCTTAAAAGGATTATAAATAATAAATATAGTTGTATTTCATAAGAAAAGTCGTATTTGACAAATCGCGTTTGATAGCGAAATGTAACCTACATTAAATATGAGGCAATAAATAGTTTATTGATAACGTTCACCAGTGAAATTATTTCACTTTAATTTCGACAGTAAATTATTTAGATATTTGTCTTTACATAAAGATTTTACACAATGGATTCCTTCAAAGGTAATCTAATTTTTAATGTTATTTTTTAATAACATTGATGTTATAGCTGACGTAGTGAATTTTTAAATTCATTCAATTCGAACTAAAAAATATTATTTTTCGAATTGCATTTACAGTCGTTTTTCAAAATTATTACAAATGAATTTTTTTTTAATTTTTTGCAATATTTTTTCAATTAGAAAAATTATAAAAATTTTCAGATGTAGGCTAACTTAATTTTCATTAAATTTGATATTTGTAAATGATGAATTAATTTTAGCAAGTAATATTTTCTATTAATTATATTTTTAATTTGTTCTCCAAGATTTAAGGGATAAACTTGTGATGTTGAAGATCGACTTATTGGCAGCTGAGCGTTTTTCCGGTGCTAAAACTGATGAAGATTTTGTAAGAGCAGCTTTAAAAATGCATGTTGAACAACAAGATGAATTGCCAAAGTTAAAAGACATAAAAAAACCTAAATGCGAAGTGAAAGCTAAGTTGATGTTGGATGAAGCAAAACAAGGTTTTTCAAGTATTTCATTAGGGAAAACAGTCGAAGTCTATAATACTGCAATGAGCCTAGCACTGCCTGGATCAGAGTTATTGGCCCATGCTTTTGCAAATCGTTCGATAGTCTTATCAAATGCGGCAATGTATGAAGAATCTTTAAAAGATATAGAGCATGCTCTCAAAGCTAATTATCCAGATAACATGAAGGCTTCGTTGTTCGCTCGGAAAGCCAAAAATTTATTTGCTTTAGATCCAACAGCAGACATTGAAGACACTTTGAATGAAGCTAGACAATGGGCATTAAAAATGAACGACAAGGAAAAAAATAAGCTTTTGGATAATCTTGAGAAGTTAAAAACAAAGACGTATAAAAAACCAGTTAAAGAACGTGATAATCGAATATTTGTACCATCTCCTCCGAATGATAATCCAAAAATTAAAGATACTTCAGCTGCTATTGCTATTAACTATTCTGAAAAATTCGGACGTCATATCGTAGCTACTAGGGACATGATGGCGGGTGAAGTAGTTTCTGTTAAACGAGCTTACGCGTTAGTACTTTCATGTGACTACAGGTTCAAACTATGTTGGAACTGCTCGAAGCATTGCTGGTCATCTGTTCCCTGCAATACATGTTCAGACGTTATTTATTGCAGTGAAGAGTGTCGAAATGTGGCCTGGAAAGATTACCATGACATAGAATGTTCTATTGTGAATGGTTTATTGTCTTCAGTATATCCTTATGAAGATATCAGCCTTACGAGCTTGAGATTATTTATAAAAGCTATCAAAGAATTCGGAACAGTAAAAGCGTTGTATGAAAGTGTTCAAAAGATGGATTCAAAAGAAGGTAAGAAATTATAAATTCGTCTTGACTGATCATACTTTAAAAATTTTTTGTCGGCAGATTTTATTATGAAAAGTTTCACTGATGGTATTTACGATGACAAGAAATACGCAAGTATTTACTCACTATGTCGGAAGCCAATGGATACACGATTCCAAGTTCAATGTGCCGGCAAAACTTTACAGTACATGTACTTTATAGCTTTGACGAGTAATATTTTTGGAAAAAAAATGGAGAATATGGATGAATTAGCAAATTATGAATATGCTGTTTTTGTTGGGAAATTACTTTATCATCATACTGTGTTAAGTTGTAATAACAGATATGCGGTATTTATTTTTACCTTTTGACTACATATTATTTATTTACTTTTTTTTTTGTAGTTCTTTAACTGTTAATAATACTAAACTTAACTGTTTAATTCTTAGGTCCATGATTCAACTAACGATGAACTAGTTGACTGTGGTGGACTGTTAAGTTCGCTGCAGTCGTTTTTCAATCACAATTGTGACCCTAATACGGATTACTTTGTATGTCGTGGTATGACTACATTTATAACTCTGCAACCTATAAAAAAAGGTGAACAGTTGTTTATTTCCTACGGACCAGAATTTCATGAGGTTCCAACTCCGAAACGAAGAGAAGAATTACAAAATATTCGAAATTTTTGGTGCGATTGTCACGCTTGCATCAACAATTGGAATCCAGGGCATGTTTTTCCATCAGCTTGGGTAAATAACTTTTTTTTTTTAATTTTAAAGACAAATTATTTGATCTATATTCTTTATAAATTATCAATTGTTTTTTCAACAGAATAAAGTGTCGAAACCAATCGCAACAAGTATGTCAATGATGTATTTGGAATCTCTTGTCCAAATGAGAAAAAAAAATTTTTATGACTATGACATTACATCTCCAGAGGAAGTTGAGAAGTTGATGTTGTGGATATTTACAATAATCAATGTAATAGGAAATTTCGATGTTTATCCTTGTGAACAAATATCAGTAGGAAAAGGTTTACTGCATTGCATTATAAAATGGATTGAGCGTTACTAATCACCGATTGATTCGCAAAAATCCTTTTTTTAATATTACGAGTCATTTTAAATGATACAAAATATGATAGTTTTAAGTATTTTGTGAAACTACCAAGTTAGGAGGAGTTCATTACTCAGATGCATTTTCATTATTTTACAGTTAATATGTTCTTTACATAACTAATGGATTTAATTATTATTACGACTATTAGATATTTTTTTATTACTCAAGCGTGATTATTTAGCTTCCTCTATATACCTTAATATGTTTATTAATACTTGCAAATTGTATTTAACTATTGATAATTATAATTATACAAGCTTGATTAATTCTTATTCATATAATTGCATTTTGTTAGCATCACAAGCTTACTGTCTTAATGTAAAGCAAAAAATTGTGGAATAAAATTGAAATAAAAATTTTAATAATCACTTTTGCATTAATAACTCATACAAAAAAAATGCGATATTCAGATCATATGATTCTTTAGTTTATTAATACTGACCAAGTTTACGACTTGAATGATAACGCTGAAAATTTATCTAAAGCTGCTAACAAACTTAAAATAGAAAAATTTAGAGATATGTGTCTGCAATCCTTTTACAAAATTCAAACTTGCCAATCCGCTCTAAGATTACTTTAATTTAATTATGATTACTATACAATCATTCGGGACTATTGAATTGCACTTCTAATTTTATTGTATTCAACGATGACAAATTTATGAATACTCTAGAGTATTAAATCTTCATAGAGTCAAATCCATCAATTAGTAACATTCTCATTCAGAAATTTAAAAGTTAATGGTACTTCTAGATTAACTCAGCGGTTGAAAATGGTGATTATATTTTATTGCGCTACTTGAATATTATGTTTTTTATTATTAATTTCAAGTAGTGATTTTTTTTGCATATATATATGAAATGAGTTAAGCAAATTTGTTATGACATGTAAGGTAATCCTCCATTTACCAGATCTTATGGTTAAGTATTGTAGTAATATAAATAATGTATATTTATAATAAGTTTGAAAAAATTGAGTATGATTTACTAAATAGTTAATCATCTTCAATATTCTGTTAAATTTTTATGAATCATCATTCAGATGTAGTTAAAATTTCATAAACAGTCAATTGGTTTTAATTGTTGCCAAATTAACGTTATAACAATTAAAATATATTTTTATTGAAAATTGTTATAAATAAATTTGCATCATACAATACTTTCCACATTATTAAAAGTGAAGTTTATCTACGTAAAAAAATGTATTCAACTTTATTAAATAATAGTATTATAAAATCAAAGAATCTGCTGATTTATAAATTTACCGCCACTCAGCTTCAAACATTAGCGAAGCTAACGAAGCCAACAAACAGAACCATTGTTTTGATTTAGCCTTCATCGCTATTTTACTTTCATCTCAAGTTTCAAATAAGCGTTGTCAGCCAAGAAATTTTTTTTTTTATTACAAAAATTAATAATTTATGTTAATTAGTTGATATTATCTTCTCTATAATAGTTTTCATAAAGTACTTAAATTCATTATAATTAATAAATATAGTTGCACCCAGTAAGAAAAGTTGTATTTAACTAATTGCGTTTTGCGTTTCATTGAAAAATGTAACCTGTATTAAATATCACGTCATAATTTATATTGATAACATTCACAAGTGAAATTATTTCTCTTTAATTTTGAGAGTAAATTAATTCTATATACAATGGAATTCTTGAAGGGTAATCTTATTTTTAATGTTACATATGAATAATACTAAAGTTAGCCGACGTTTTAGAATTATTAGAACTAGAAAATATCTTTTTCGAATTGCGTTTATAGTGTTTCAAAATTATAACAAAAGAATTTTTTTTTAATTCTTGTGCAAGAATTTTTTCAATAAAAAAAATTATAACAGTTTTACAATGTCGCCTAACTTAATTTTCATAAAATTTGATATTTGTAAATGATGAATTAATTTTAGCAAGTAATATTTTCTATTAATTATATTTTTATTTGTTCTCCAAGATTTGATCAGTGAATTTGCGACCTTAAAAATCGACTTATTGGCAACTGAGCATTTTTCCGGTGCTAAAACTGATGAAGATTTTGTAAGAGCCGCTTTAAAAATGCATGTTGAAGAACAAGATGAATTGCCAAATTTGAGGGACATGAAAAAACCTACATGCGAAGTAGAAGCTAAGCGGATGTTGAATAAAGCGAAACAAGATTCTTCAAGTATGTCATTAGCAAAAAAAAATTGAAGTTCATAATACTGCAATGAGTCTAGCACTGCCTGGATCAGAGTTATTGGCCCATGCTTTTGCAAATCGTTCAATAGTCTTATCAAATGCGGCAATGTATGAAGAATCTTTAAAAAATATAGAGCATGCTCTCAATGCTAATTATCCAGACAACATGAAGGTTTTGTTGTTCGCTCGGAAAGCCAAAAGTTTATTCGCTTTGGACCCAACAGCAGATATTGAAGACACTTTGAATGAAGCTAGACAATGGGCATTGAAGATGAGTGATAAGGAAAAAAATAAACTTTTGGACAATCTTGAAAAGTTAAAAACAAAGACACATAAAATTTATTTTGACTCATTATTCTACTTAAAAATTTTTTTGTCTGCAGATTCTATTATGAAAAGTTTCACTGATGGTATTTACGATGACAAGAAATACGCAAGTGTTTATCCATTACGTCGGAGGCCGATGACTACGCGAATCAAAGTTCAATGTGCCCGCAAAGCTTTACAATACATGTATTTCATGGCTTTGACGAGCGATGTTTTTGGGAAAAAAATGAAGAACATGGATGAATTAAAAAACTATCAATATGCTGTTTTTGTTGGAAAATTACTTTACCATCATACTGTGTTAAGTAGTACTAACAGATACGCGGTATTTATTTTTATCTTTTCTTGACTACTTGTTATTTATTTATTTATTTTTTTTTATGGATCTTTAACTATTCAATTAAACCGTAATGAAACTAAATTTTTCAACTGTTTAATTTTTAGATTCATGTACCAAGTACTAACGAACTTCTTAAGTGTGGTGGACTGTTAAACCCGCTAGAGTCGTTGCGACAATCACAGTTGTGACCCTAATATGAGTTACTTAGTCTGTCTTGATATGGTTACATTCATAACTCTGCAACCTATAAAAAAAGGTGGACAGTTGTTTATTTCTTACGGACCAGAATTTCATATTATGCCAACTCCGAAGCGAAGAGAAGAATTACAAAATAATAGAAGCTACTGGTGCGATTGTCACGCTTGCATCAACAATTGGAATCCGGAACATGTTTTTCCATCAACTTCGGTAAATGAATTTTTTATTTTTTTTTAATTTTGAAGACAAATTATTTGATCTATTTCTGTATAAACTATCAACTGTTTTTTCAACAGAATAAAATACCGAAAAAAATCGCAACAGATATGTCAATGATTTTCTTCGAGTGCATTGTCCAAATTCAAAGACAAAATTTTTATGACCATGATACTACATCTCCAGAGGAAATTGAGAAGCTAATGTCGCGTATATTTACAATAATCAATCTAGTAGGACGATACGTTATATATCCTTGTGAAGAAACATCAGTGGGAAAATGTTTCCTGTATAGCATTATCAGATGGATCGAGAGTTACCAACCACCGATTGATTCGTAAAAATCCGTTTTCTAATATTAAGAGTCATTTGAAGTGACAATAATTATAATAGTTTTATTATTTTTATGAAACTACTTAGTTGAGATTCTTAGCTTAAGAAGAATTTATTACTCAGATGCATTTTTATTATTTTACATTTGATTGATTCTTTGCATATCTAATTGATTTAGTTATTCTCATGACTATTAGATATTTTCATTACTCAAGCGTAATTATCTAGCTTCCTTTTTAAACCTCAATATGTTTAATAAAACTTGAAAAATTTATGTCACCATTAATGATCATGATTATACAAGCTTGATGGAGTCTTATTCATATAATTGGACGTTATTAGCATCATGAGCTTTATTCTTTCAATGTAAAACAAAGAAATTGGGCAACAAAATTGAAGTAAAAATTCTAATAATCATTTTTTCATTCATAATTTATATCGAAAAAAATGCGATAGTCAGATCATGTTATTATCCTTTAGTTTATTTATGCCGATCAAGTTTACTACTTGGATGATAACGCAAAATATTTATTTAAAGCTGCTAACAAACTTAATTTAGAAAAACTTTGAGAAATATCTCTGCAATCCCTTCACAAATTCTAACTTGTAAGTCCGTTCCAAAATTATTTAATTATATTTTATTTTTCTACTTGAATATTATGTTATTAATTATCTAATGTAATGATTTTTCTTTGCAGATATAGTGAGTTAAGCGAATTTATTGTTACAGATCTAAATTATATTTCTCCTAAAATGATTTTAATAACAGTAAAATATTTCTTTTTTATTCAACACTGCATATCAATATTTAATCATACTAAAATTTGCAGACACGTGATAATTTTTAGAATTTTTTTTAGTTAATAAATATTTATGAGTGAAATTTAATAAAATATCATATGCGGAAATTCAAAAAAACTAGAAAAACAATTTTTTTAATTTCTCAATAACAATCTATTCGCTAGAAACAATTCTAAAAACTATCATTTTTCTTCTAATTACGGTTTTATTATATTTAGGGTATTGTTTTAATTAATATTTTGATACACAAAAATTCTCTTATTTTTAATGCCATATTTGTTGTAAGAGAAATCAAAAAAATTATTTCTTGCAGTTAGAGTTATCTGTCATTAAAATTATTCTGCGTCTATATCATATTATTAATTAAGGAGGTCCTTTCGCCGCCAATGTAAAATAAAAAATATTAGATTATGAGTAAATTCAATTTTTTTCTAATAGTTAAGGTCCTTATTTATCTAATAGTGAGGTTTAAATTATACTTTACCGGACAAATTTTTAAACCTCACTATTAGATAAATAAGGACCTTAACTATTAGAAAAAAATTGAATTTACTCATAATCTAATATTTTTTATTTTACATTGGCGGCGAAAGGACCTCCTTAAGTAAAAAAAATTAGGAAAACGGTTGACTCTAAAGGCCATCCCTGCAACTTCCCGCCAATTCTATACCTAAACGCTTGAAATTGCACTTATGATGTTTTTGAGCTCTTCGAGCTCATAAATACAATTTGTGTGTTATTTTGAGTTCTCCGTGCAAAAATTCTCAAGTAACCTACGTTAAAATGGAGTCAAAACATTTGGCAACGTTGCGTAGCGCGCGAGCTTCAGACCATTCAATAAATTCAAACTAATTTATTTATTTACACTGACTGCAAAAACTTAAACGTGGTTAAGGTTATATTGTGCAAATGAAAATGTAAACAATTGAAGTACAGCGTTGCCAAATCACGGACAGGTTACTAGCAGTTGATTTGAAAGAGTCAAATTAATTTTTGTATTTAACTATTTTTTTTTTTATTTTCAAAATTTCAACGATTAATGCCTCATATACTATTTATTATTTAATTTTAGGAATTTTTATGGGCTTCTTTTTTTAATTTATCGTATATTGACTACTACAATTGTTTTGACTCAACTGGAGCGAAAGGATTTCCTTAAGATTTTCATCACTAAATAAAAAAAAATAGTTACATTTAAGAATTGATAATAATGATATTAAAATTGATTACAATTATTCATCAATTTATTATAATTCATTAATTAATTAATTGAAAATTAAAAAATTTATAATATTTTAGGTAAATACACTGAAACTAACGAAAATTTAATAACTTTTACTTTTTTATTCCTGTTGGCGAATTATATATGGTATATATGGCTATTTGAACATTAGAAAACAATACAAATAATTGTCATCACATACAAATTTAAAATCATGTGGTTCATTATTTTACTCAGATGACGCTACTTGTCAAGAGATGAATTACACACGTATGAACGCGGAGGTATGCGTGTGTGTGTGCGTTTCGACTAAATCTGCACCGCATTGTAATTTCATATCGTCACGCGCTACACAACAATTGATAAACTTAAGTAAATCTTGATATCATAAAATATTAATTGCTTGTGTGTTGATTGTATTAATACTAAAAGATATAAAAACCCAGTTTTCTGGACAATAAATTGAGGTAAAAAATAAAACTTGATAAATAAATATGAAATTCAAAAGAGGTTATACGTTCACCAAAAAGCATGTGATTCTTTATGAATGGAGAATAAACGAGATAAGTTCATACGTTGAAAAAAATGACGATGAGGTTATCTACAAGCTGGACCTGGAATCACCAAAGTTTTCGGTTGGAGCGGATGAAGAAAAAAAGTGGTATCTGAGATTGAAGTCTGCAAGTGATCTGGATCTTGACAAAACTTGGTTGTCTTTATTCCTGCACTATTCGTCTTCCAAAGAATCAGAGGTCAAGACCAAGTATTTATTGTTTATTTTAAATGATAAAAAAGAAAGAGTTAATGTTTCTGAATTTCATAAATGGTTTAAAAATGACGGCGACGGTTGGATCTGTGCTGAGTTTGTCAAAAAAGCAGATCTGGAAGAAAAGAAAGATGAGCTTCTTCCTGATGATACACTGACAATCGGAATAGAACTTACAGTCTACGATGATTCCACAACGTTTTGTACCTACATAACATTGGAAGAACCAAAATCTCAAATGGTTGCTGATTATAAGAGACTCTTTGAAAGCAAGGAAGGCTGCGACGTTGTCATCAAGGTAAAAGACGAGACTTTTGAAGCTCACAAGACGATCTTGATGGCACGCAGCGAAATGTTCTTTAAGCTGTTTACTGTTGAAATGAAGGAGAGTAAGGAGGAATTTATTACTCTGTCAGACATCGAACCTGAAATCTTCAAGAGCTTGTTGGAATTTATCTACACAGACGAAGTTTCTTACCTCGATGTTGTTGTAGAAGATTTGTTGGAGGCTGCTGATAGATTTCTGATAGAGTCACTCAAAAATATGTGTGTAGAGTCTCTGATTAAATTGCTAAACATCGACAATGCTGTCCGATTCTTGTCCTTAGCTGAAAGACATAATGCTCCTCAGTTACTCACCCACGTTACTGATTTCATTGTTTTGAATGTTGAGGATATCATCAAGAGTCGAGAGTTTGAAATTATGGAAAAGTCGAATCCATCTTTGGCGCTGATTTTGTTTCGAAAGTTCGCAGCTTTAAAAACTGATGGGACATTTTTGTTTTCTGATCCTGTTAAAGAAGGTATTATTTTTATTCATTTTTTTTTTTAATTATTACTGTTTTTGTTTCTTTATTGTCACAATTTATTATATTTTCTGTTTCAGCTAAGTGAATGTGGATACACATTTTGGTACCATCAAAAATTCATCTTGAGCTTCAATAATAATTCTTTTATGATTTTTATAAATGGTTACAGTGTAATAATCTTTATATTTTTTTAAATACAACTACTCTGTAAATTTTGAAAAAATTTATAAAACTAACAGTAAAAGACAAAAGACATTACTTGAAGATTTTTCTTAAAAAAATAAATTGGTTTATAGAAAATAAGAAAAAATTTTACTATTAGAAATTTTAGAAAGCTGCAAAATAATTTTAGAAAATTATTTTTTTAGTAATATTTTATTTCTTCAATAAAATCAAAAAATGACCGGTTCTATCAGCCGATTTCATAATTATTTCACTTTAGGGAACTATAAATTATTTTTTTTTTTATTTTTGTAAGATGGCGACACTCGTTACTTAAGGGTCTTATTTATTATAATTATAATTATGATATAAGTTGTCCTCTGAAAAAGAGGACTTAAAAAGAAAAACTGAATATCTGCTGTTAAAACAGCTTAAGATTGTTTTACATTTATAGTTTATCGGATTGTCATACTAAGTAAGTAAAAAATACATTTTTTGATACTGAAATCAACAAAAACCTGACAATGTTTGAAATTGTTATTATTACTAATTGATTACGACAAAACAAATATAAAATTGAGAATTCGAACTTGCTATTTTTTTTTTAATTTTTATTTGTAGAATTTCTTTTATAATAATTTATTTGTAAAAATCTAGAAAATTTTTAGATGTCTGTTGGTTTCAGAGTTATAATATTTTACAATAATTCAAGATCTCAAATATATTTTTTGTTTGTAGTACTTTTCACAATGAAAAAAGAAAAAGGTTATACAAGCGTTAAAAAGCATCAGATAGAATATCACTGGAAAATAAATGAGATAAGTTCATACATTAAATGCTACCGTGAAAAACCTGAGATAAATACACATTTACTTTCACCCACGTTTTCAACGGGGTCCAAAATGGATGATGCATGGAAACTTACGATAACGTTCAATGATCATGATTCAGATGAATACAAAGATTGGATATCAATTTATCTAAACCCATTTAATCAACAAAAAGTAATCGAATTTAAAACTGACTACACATTGTTCATTTTGGATAACAAAGGTGAAATGGTTGAAAGGGAAAATACTAAGTATATTTTTAATGATTTTCATGGATATGGTTTCCCAGATTTCTGTACAAAAAAAAAATTATTAGAAAATCCAGATACACATATACCAAACGATACACTAACAGTTGGTATCATATTAACCGTATTTGATTCTTCGACATTTTCTAATAATGATACTGTTGATGATGAGCCAAGAGGTTTCATGATCGGTGATTATACAAAACTTTATGAGGACGAAAACATGCCTGATCTTGTTGTGAAGGTTAAACATGAAACAATCAAAGCTCATAAAACAATTTTGATGGCTCGTTGTCCTCTGTTCAGTAAAATGTTTTCAATTAAGATGAAAAGTAGAGAAGAAGAAATCAATATACCCGATGTGGACTCTGATACTTTTTACAGCTTTCTTGAATTCATTTATACTGAAGAAGTTATTGACTTAGACGATTATGCCGAAGCTTTATTTGAATTTGCAAGCAAATATAAGCTGGAAGAACTTAAAAAAATGTGTGCAAAGTCTCTATACAAAACTTTAAATATTGATAACGCACCCAGACTATTGGTTTTAGCAAAGGAATGTGATGCTCTGGAGCTACTGGATTACATCTCTGAATTCATTGTAATCAATTCTGGGCAAATTATTGAGACTCCAGAATATCGCTCCATTGGAGAATCAAATCCAGCAATTGGTATAATTCTGCTTAAAAAATTTGCGGAATGGAAACTTAGTGGCAATCTTGAACTCAACGACGTTAATAAAAAATGGTACAGGATTTTTTAATGAATGTTTTTTTTATTTGTTAAGACTTTGCATGGTTTATTTAAATAATTTTTTTTATTGAATTTATAATATCCAGCAATTTGCTAATTTTATATTTACTTTTATTTACATTGAATCAATAATATAGTTATACTTGATTTATTTTATTGATTACTTTATTTTTTTGGTAGATGAATGAATGATAGAGTCCAGTTGCATCGCTAAGGAAATGTCAGCAGTCTTATCATCTTTAAGTAAATTTTTTTTATAATATCTCTTGGATTAATGATTTAGTATCTAGTTGCAAAATGATACTAAATGAAATATTGTAAGATTAAGATATTTAATAGCATTACTTAAGTATTTATTTACTTTATACTATTTCACTCCGTATGTCTATATTTATGATAATTATTTACTCACCGTCATTTTTATTATTACCAATTAGCTTGTTATTCTAAAAAATTATTAAAAATAAACTAAGAAAATAATTCAACCACATAATTTTCTACCAATAATTTTAATTTCAATATGATGAAATAAATTATATATTCAACAATTTAATTAAATTATATCCGTCACAAAAAAAAATTATGCTAATTTCATCAGTAGTTATTTTAAAAAAATATATTTGTTACTTTGTTCGAATACTACGCGTAAATTTTTAAAATACTAAAAGCAGCAGAAATTTTTTAGATTTTATAACAATTTAATTATAAAAAAAAATATTTAAAAAAATTCTCATTGCTTTAAATTTCTACACGTGGATTTTTTTTACTTAATTTTTTTTATAGTAGTTGAATTGTTATAGAAATTTAAAAAAATTGTTCGACAGCTAGTGATTTCAGTATAATTAATTTTTCCTAAAAATTTCTTATAACACGTGAGTGTTCGAAAATACAAATTCTACAAAAGAACAAATATTTTAAATTAAAATCATTCAAAAATAAAATTATTTAAGAGTAATTTTAGTTAAAAGAATAAAATAAAACAGGTTAAAATTTGAAATGAAATCTAGTTAAAGCCATCAATAGTTAAAGAGCGTTCTATGCGAATGACTAAGTATTGAGTCAATACTATTGAACAACTATAGTAAACTTATGAGTAATTTATTATTTTTCTATGTGCTTTTTAATTAACTAGTCTTGTTTTCGAATAGATTTCATTGAATAATTTTGGAGTGTCTTATTATATTTGTTGCATAAAAATTTCTTTTGAATATTTTTACTTTCTAATCATTATAATTTAGGTCGTTAATTTTTTTATATATTCCAAATTTTCGAATGAAAAATATTGTGCGTGCCCCAGTGCGGCCAGATCGTGGGATATTTTTATCCCTACTTTGTACCGCTTTTCAATGTAGTCAGATGAGAGTGTCCTACAAAGTGGGGGTAAGAAAATCGTACGATCTGGCCGCACTGCGTGGGAGTTTTTATCACAGTGGCACTGTGGCATTTTCCAAGGGGTGTTAAGTGTTAAGTGTTAAGATAAATGTTTTAAGAATTACGGTGACAGTTCGATCTGTTCTAAGTTTGTCAAGAAAGCAGACCTGGAAGAAAAAAAGAAAGAGCTTCTTACGTATGATACACTGACAATCGGAGTAGAACTTATAGTCTACGATGGTTCCACGACAATTTCTACCAGCATCACCTTGGATGAACCAAAATCTCAAATGGTTGCTGATTATAGGAAACTCTTTGAAAGCAAGAAAAGCTGCGACGTTGTCATCAAGGTAAAAGATGAGACTTTTCAAGCTCACAAGGCGATCTTGATGGCACGCAGCGAAGAGTTCTTCAAGCTGTTTACTGTCGAAATGAAGGAGAGTAACGAAGAATTCATAACTCTGTCAGACATTGAACCTAAAATATTCAAGAGCTTGTTGGAATTTATCTACACAGACGAAGTTTCCGACCTGGATGTTGTTGTGGAAAGTTTGTTAGAGGCTGCTGATAAATATCTCATAAAGTCACTGAAAAATATGTGTGTAGAGTCTCTGATTAAATTGCTAAAGATCGACAATGCTGTACGATTCTTGTTCTTAGCTAAAAGATATAATGCTCCTCAATTACTCACGCTCGTATCTGAATTCATTGTTTTGAATGCTGAGAATATCATCAAGAGTCGAGAGTATGATATTATAAAGTCGAATCCATCTTTGGCGATTATTTTGATTAGAAAGCTTGCAGCTTTGAAAGCTAATGGGACAATTAGGTTAGCTGACCCTGTTAAAAGAAGGTATTATTATTATATTATTTCTATTCATTTTTTTTAATTATTTCTGTTTTTGTTCCTGCATTGTCACAATTGATTAAATTTTCTGTTTCAGCTAATTAAATATGGATACACATTCTGGTACAATCAAAAGTATGTCTTGAACTTCAGTGACTATTCTTCTATGATTTGTTTACAATTAATTTCAATAGTTTTAATATTTATTTGTTTCTTAAAAATTTCAAAACTCTTGTTAATGTAAAAAAATAACAAATTAAGGTAATGATTGCACGCCTCATAAGCAAAGCGGATTAACTGCCAAAAAACTTAACTGACCAAGTCCATTTTTTTTATACGCTTCAGTATTATCCAAAACTAGGTCCTTTCGACGATCACGGCCTCATTCAATGTGTAATTCAATTATAACTAGCAATAAACTGAAATTCACTTATCATTTGTCTATCTATATCTATGTAAATAAGGATCGTTTACAATATATGCACAGTACCTTTCTTTTCTGGGTGGACAATGGCGCAAAAGATTCAAAAGTATTTGTATTTATTTTATTTTAATCAATTTTATTATGGAAAATGAGATTATGAGGTGTGCACTTTTGGATTTTCTAAACTTTTTACAAGTGGGGTCAACCCATGCTGGGCCATGTTAAATTTTTTTATTTTTTTTTTTCTATCAAGCTGATCAATTTATTTTAATTGTTCTTTTTTTTATTTACTTTTGAAAAAAAGAAAATATCAAAAACATAACAAAAAAATATAAAATAGAAATTTTATTAAAAAACATCAAAGTCAAAATTTTTCCAAATATTAAAGACAAAGATATCGAAATCTTTATTATTTCCTTTCACGACATTTTTTTTCCTAAATATGCACCGTAAAAACAAGTAGAATAAAAAAAAATTAAAAAATTTTTCATCTAGATGTAGCTCAAAATAGGATCTTCGACGTCAAAGGCAGCCAACATCTATATAAACTCCATCGCATTTAGAAGATCTTCACCAGCACCAAATATGACAACGCCACCGAACGAAGCCACTGAAGTACCAAAATGGAAATTGGAAATGCTAAGGAATTTGACTGCACAACGGCAGAGGCTTAATCCAAATTTCAAAACTTTCATCAATTAACTCGACCGAGTCGAGGATAACTAGAGAAGAATAAGACGGGCGGTTCATAATGAGGGGTAATCAAGGATCCCGGCGAAATGACGAACGTACCACTGACAATTAAACATTTAAGGAGTTACATTGAATTGTAAAAATTAAAAATGAATAACGTATTTGTAATAATTGTAATTGTAATTTTTCTAAAAATTTTTTGACAACTTTTAATTTTTTACTTATTTGCAAAATGATTTAATTTTAATATGATATAGTAAATTATAAATTCAACAGTTTAATTAAGACATATCTGTCACGAAAAGAAAAAAATTATTCAAATTTCACCAATATGTATTAATTTTAAAAAAATGTATCTGTTACTTTGTTCAATTACTACACGTGAATTTTTAAAATGCTAAAATCAGTAGGAATTTTTTAGTTTTTATAACAATTTAATTATGAAAAAAAAAAAAATAAAATATTTAAAAAAATTTCTCCCTTATAATTATTTTTAATTTATACCCGTGGATTTTTTTTACTTAATTTCTTTTTATAATAGTTGAAATGAAAATTAAGTTAGTCGACATCTAAAAATTTTTAGAATTTTTTTTTTATTGAAAAAATAATTACAAAATAATAAAAAAAAATTTTCATTTGTAAAAAACTTGACAAATTGTAAGTGCAATTTTTAAAAAATATTAAAAAATTAAAAATCAAGAAATTAAAGACGTCGGCTAACTTTAATTGTAATAAAAATTAAAAAAAATTCTCCGACAGCTGATGATTTCAGTATCATAAATTTTTTGTAACACGCACCTGAACGTTAAAAAAAATATAAGCAAATATTACATGCCTGCTGTACCAAATTACTCATCATTTCTCCCTCCATTTCCCGGCAGCAAGTCGTGCATAACAAATGTATAAAATGTAAGTAAATTAACAAATATTTAAAATAATTAATTATTAAAAATAATAATATCAATAATAAATATTTCAGTTTCAGCCAAAAAACTGTGATTAATTATATTTTATGAATATTAAAAAAGTAAACTAGTGCAAGTAATTAAATAAAGCATGAAGAGAGGTTATGTAGTTACGAATAAACACATTGTGAAATTCGAATGGAAAATAAAAAATATCAATTCACATGTGAAATTCGAGACTGATGATGAAAACAAGGATATAAAATTACATTCATCGTCATTTTCGGCGAAAGCTAATGGAGATTTGTGGAAACTGCATGTTCAATTTAATAATGCTCACCAGTCTGTTAATAAAGACTACATGTCACTGTGCCTGCAATCTTTGAGAAACGATTTAAAAGTGAAAACTAAATTTATATTGTACATTTTAAATCACAAGAAAGAAATGACAAATGATAACGTTTTGTACATGACATTTGAAAATGACGAAGTCGCTTATGGATTACCAGAGTTTGTCCGGAAGAAAGATTTGGTGGATCCGAAAAAAAAGCTATTATCTCATGATAGTTTAACAGTTGGTGTTGAATTGGTTGTTTTTGATAACCCTGATAACAAAAGCAGTGATACAACTAATGAGTTGATGATAAAACCAAGCAACCAGCTAGTCCAGGATTATAAGCAACTCTTAGATAGCAAAGCTGGAAGTGACGTTACTCTAATAGCGGGTGACCGTAAATTTAAAGCTCACAAATCTATCTTGCTAGCCAGAAGTCCTGCTTTCTCGAAGATGTTTTCTGAAAACCAGTTCCAGGTCCTGAAAGCTCCAATAATGATACATGACATTGAACCTGAAATCTTCGAGAAAGTTCTGGAGGCAATTTATACTGACGAAGTTTCTGACTTGGATGAACACGCCGAAGATTTACTCGAAGCTGCTGATAAATTGCAACTGCAATCGCTCAAGCAAATGTGCGAGCAGTCGCTCTCCAAGACTTTGAGTGTTGATAACGCAATTGTGGCGCTGTCTTTAGCTGTTCAGTATAATGCTAAAGAGTTGATTGATTATGTAGCGGATTTTATTGTTAGCAACGCTGAACAAGTTGTCACCACGCCTGAGTATAGTATGATGGAAGAAATACAACCTGAGCTAATGTCTATTTTGTTCAAAAAATTCGTTGACCTGAAGAAATCTATTTTTTAAACAACTTTGATATGGTTAATATTTTGATTTTTAGTTACTAGTTTTTTTTTTACACCTTAGATTTATTTCAGTATTTTTTTTTTTTTTTTTTTTTTTTTTTTTTTTTTTTTTTTTTTTTGAGGCGTATATTATGACACTAAAGTTAGCAGACATTTTTTGAATTTTTATTAAGGTAAAAAACCCAGTTATTGACACTGGCCTAGCTGTCTGACCTAGTTAGTTGAAAATTTATAATTTAAAAATTATATTTATCAATTTATTAGAATTGATTTATTTTTTTTAATTAAAATAAAATTGCAAGTGTCAATAACTGGGTCTTTTGCCTTACAGGTCAACGATAAAAAACAGATTTAAAAAAAAATTTGCACTTGTAATTTTTTAATTAAAATTTTTTCATAATAAATTTATCATTATATAAGTCCAAAAAAATGACAGATGTCCGTTCATTTCAGTTTAATCGGATCCCTGGTTAAAAATACTGATTGAAAAATGGTCACTCCATACAAACTGTATATCTATATATATTAACAAAAGAATTGAAATTATTGAAAAGAATTCGAATTTTAATTCTTTTCAATCAATATTTTTAAACAGGGATATTATATATCTTACAATGTTTAATTTTTTCGGAAGAAATGAATGTTTAGATTACGAGAATATTTGTTAAAAAGAAAGAAGCGAGTTGCAATGTTTAGTTATCATTTATCATTATCGACGTTTTCTAAAGTTTTTTTTTATAAGGACATACAGTGCGCGTCATTGATTCGTACCGGTTGAAAAATTTTAAGGTAAAATAGATAAATCAAAATTTCGACATCTGTAAATAAAGAAATCAATAAAAGGAAAATCTTTATAAGGATCAATTTGAACAAAATTGAAAAAATAATTTACTAAAAATAAATAACTCAAAATATCAATCACGATTAAAATAGAAATTAAAAATCTTAGTAATTAAAATAATCACACACTTTATAAAATAAATAAAAGTAAAATTTTAATATTAAAAAAAAAAGACAACGATATTATTCGATAATTTTAAAATTTATCAATTATAAATATAGGCATTGGATAAAATATAATAGACTAAATTCAGAGAAGTCAGTAAAAAGACATTTGAATATTTATATTTATAAAAATATTGAGAGTTATTAATATATAAATTCTTAAAAAATAGACATCTCTAAATATAGACTAGAAAAAATAGAAAACTGTGATTTTAGACATCTGTATAAATTTTTATTTATATTAATTTATAAATTCAAATAAAAATACAATTAAAAATATAACTGCTTTCAATTTACGAGCTAATAAAAAATTGAAACAGTATTTCTATGAGGCTCTAGAGCACTAGACCAAAACCCTTGAATGTTTACGGAGTTGGTTCTCCAGGAGGTTGTGGATAAGGCTGCTGCGGGATTTCCCGCGCTTCAAATAATAACCTAAAAATTTTTAAAATAGTGAGTGCCGTATTTATCAGAGTTAGCTACTCATGAAGGTTTACGAAGCCGGTTCTCCAGGAGGTTGCGGGTTAGGCTGCTGCGGGATTTCTTGCGCTCCAAATAAATAACCTAGACATTTTTAAAATATTAAGTAACGTATTTATCAGAGTGAGCTACTCATGGAGGTTTACGGAGCCGGTTCTCCAGGAGGTTGCAGATCTAGCAGCTGTGAGAATCCCCGTGCTTCAAATAATAACCTACTCTCTTAAAAAAAATCGTGTGGAGATTAAAAAGAGTAGAATTTCACTGGTTCACCAATGAAATTTTACTGATGATTCCAACCAGTGGATTTCATTGGTGAATCAGTGAAGTTCACTGGTTGAATCAGTGAACAAAATATCTGCGCGCATGCGTGTTTTTATGTCCACTGGTTAAATCAGTAGAAATCCACTGATTCACCAGTGAAATTGTCATTTTCTGTTGAATCTC